CTGCACTTAGATGGCTCAATATCTACTTCAGAATTGGAGATAGCTATATCTTCAGTATACAATACACTGTAGAAAGTATCCAAGACAGTTGAATCGGGCATAAACAGTGTTGATGGTTGTATCATCTGTAGATGACAGAGTAGGTAGCTGTAGGTTGTTAGTGTTACTAGACACTGCAGATAAATGCCTGTATCTTAGATAGACAAAAGATAGCTGTATACAGGGTTGATATCTGCATCTGTATAGACAGTTTTGATAGCTATCAAATATTTACAATGAAGTTAGATATATTTATCTGAGGTAGAGTGGATGGCTGTTTCTTCTGAAGTTACCTGGGGGGTTGCCCGGGAGCTGGGGAGGGGGAATGTTGAAACTCTGAATTGATCAATGCATAAGCACTTCATGATTTGTTTGTTTTGTAATTCCCAAACTTACATAGTTAATTTGATTTGATTCCTGTTATATTTGTTCTCTTATTTTCAGATGTAAAGTAATATTTTGGTTTGCTTGTTATTTAGCTTATGTGATACAATTGTAAAGATTAGTTAATTTTTCTCCTTAATGTTGGTGAAAATAACATTATGTAATGTAAGATAAATTTTTTGTTACAACATCTGACGAGTATACAGAGAGTGCCAACCCTTGTCAACTTAGGGTCTAAAATTCTTGCATTTATGGCATAACAACCTAGTCTTCCGAAAGTCTTTGACAGCATGTTCTAATATGCCTGTAACATATGTGGCTCCAACACATCACAAGATATGGAGCTATTAACGGAATCTCTAATCTATGTCTAAAGTGTCAACTAAAGTTGGTAAACAATTTCTTTCATGGTGATTTATATTTGGAATGACTTTTCACCCTCTTTCAATAGTGTTAAATTTAATTAAATTTCAATCTGTAATTTTACCTTATAATGTACCATTAGTAATGTTTAACTAACTTTTCCCTCATTGTTTATATATTTGTTTTCATTACCTCCCTGCTGTCACCTGGTATTTAAAATGTATTGGGGCTAACAAGAAAACCTTTGGTTAACTTAGCTTCCTAGGCTTTCACAATTTGACATTAAAATTTGACATTAAAATTTTATTACTAGTAAATAGTATTAATCAATCTACAGTATTGTAAAATCATAAAATTATTATAATTGAACTCATATTTATTTTGAGTGAGTAAAATTTTTTTTTACCAAAGCTGAAAAAAAAAGGGATGCATATTTACCATATTCCACTTAACAGCTCAGTAAATATCCCCTACTATTTACCTCCACTTATAAATGAATAAACAATTTTTTGTTATTTTATGAAAGTGCAGGGAAAAGGTTCAAAGAGTTGGAACACATGTAATTTATATAATTATTATCAACTGATGATAAAAGCTGTCATGTATGTTTTGACAGAGATGGCATGTAGAGAGGAATCTCAAGTAGATTCAAGTTGCCAGTGCCAGCATCTGAAACCATCTTTCAGGTATGGCAATAAAGTAATAATGAGCAGTGCTGTAATCAGTCAATTTCATGTATATCCAATGAATTGTTAATTCTTTAACTCCCATGAGTGACCAAGACAGAATTTCTCCTTACATTATCAATACAACATTAACCAGATACGTAATGAGGATAAAGAAAAATATCAATTTGGGGATAATGTGTTTATCCAATACTTAATTCTCTGAACTAACATTATAAGAATTGTATGGTTGACAGTAAGGAGAGTTACAAATTTGATCCGGGAGTTGAAGGGTTAGAAGGAATTTCAGTTATTTCTTAATTTTGATGTTACTTTTGATGCATATGTAGTTATCAATAATTCTGACATAATTTTAAGACTTTTGGACAAAACTTTTTTATTCAAGTTTATTTTCCTAGCTTGCTTTATATGCAAGGTAAATACCTTAACCCTTTAACTCCCATGACTGACCAAGAGAGAATTTCTCCTTACATTGATCAATATAAAATCAAGAAGACAAGTGATGAGAACCAAGAAAAGTATCATTTAGGGGATCATTAGTTGAACCAATATCAAATTCTCAGAAGCAACATCAGAAGAATTGTGTAGCAGACAGTTAGGAGAATTACTAATGAGATCTTAGGAGTTATTTGGGTTAAGGTATTGTCACTTTTAGCACTGTCTTGTCCACTTAAAATCCCAAATGATTCAAGGATGGAATTTTGTTGGGAAAGCCTTGGAGTTTATCCCTGATTGGCTCACTGATTGTTAGACTTGTCAACAGATTTATTGATTGGCATACTGATAACTGATCAGCTTATCAACTGATAATCAAAGTGAAAGACTGTCTACTGAATAAAAGACTAACAAGGTGGTTCAAGACTCGCTAATCATTGAGGAACAAAGAACCAAATTAGTGACTGACTGACAGACTGACTGACTGATTGACTGATTGATTGATTGCATCGCATTACATTGTCTCACTGTACATGTATTAAAAACTGTTGTTTTCTTGTTAATAAGATGTCATCAGCATGATAAAAGCACTGGACCAAAATTTAAATGGTTATCTTCAGGATTAATGCTTGTTTAACTTTACAATCCATTATGGTTGGATGAACTAGGTCAACAAAAGTGATGTAAACCAAATTCTAGTTTCCTCAACTATTTTCAGATTTGTGGTTTGTCTTGCAATAGTTTCTTTCCTCTTTGAATAAGAAGAATATATAACTCTCAGGTAATCAATCATCTCATGATGCCTTCCCCTCAAACCTTGTAGTGTTATTTACTTTAAAACATGTCAAAATGAATGGCAATCTTGCTGCACACTACATAGAGATTATACCGCCAGCTGAGTGCCTGGAACATCTCAACAATTTGACATCTTCGTTGCTTGCTTACAATAAATACGGGCTACATGGTTTTGGAGCTTCTGTATAAATAAACTTTAAGATAAGTGCACACATACCAATTGTCTGATTATGACTGAAATGCCAGAACTGTTCATGTGAGATTGCATGACTGGTTGACTTGCTGGCAAACTGATGATTAACTGATTGTCAAACTAACCAGATGCCAACCATTGAAAATCTGAATTCTACAGTTGTTTGAATTTTAACTTTTCTAACTGGCTGATTGTTTGACTTACTGACTGACTGACTGACTGACTGACTGACTGACAGACTGACAGATTGATTGACCGATTGACTCAGACTGACTGGACTTATGGACTGACTCAGACTGACTGGACTTATGGACTGACTCAGACTGACTGGACTTATGGACTGACTCAGACTGACTGGATTTATGAACTGACTCAGACTAACTGGCTGACTGACTTGCTGTCCTATGGACTGACTGACATGCATCATTGACTGAAGACTGTTGATTGATTGCTTGATACAGAAGCTGTTAACTTTGTTTAGGAACTGTTCTCCATCAGATAAAAATTACTACTTGGGTAGAATTTCTAAATAGTTTTAAAAATCTTTTGCATAAACTGTTGTGTGCTGTGTTCTCCTTTCTTTTGCAAAGTGTTATAAAGTAAAATCTGGATCACATTTGTGGAGAATTACAGCTTTTTTCAACAGACAAATTGACAGACTGGCTGATAATCTTCCTGACTTATGACTGATGGATGTATTTAAAGTTGTTTTACTAAATGATAAGTTTTTTTAGCTATCTTTTTACACACAAACTTTCCCATCATATATCCAAATACAAGGAAGGCATTGAGGAAAATGTTAATTCATCAATTTTCTTTTTTCAGGATTTATGCCAACTGTGGACCATGGGTTGACATTTTATTCTTATTGATGATTGCTGTACTGGAAATCCAGTTGTTTGCTTAAGTACACAAACAAAATTCTGGTATGAGGTATGCTCTGTTTGAAGTTCACCTCAGATGTATATTGTACAATGCAACTTGCTTTGTTCAATCAGCAAGCAGAGCACCCCCACTGGTATTCAAAATGGTGTCAGACATTCCTTAATCGGTTGTTTAAAGGGTGAATGAAGGTGGACCTATCCAATTTTCCTTTTTTCGTAAATGAGAAGTTCCAAATTGCTCCAAATTATTCCTATGGCAGCAGTACAATAAATTTCTCTAATGTCATTTTTCTTGAACTATAATTAGAATTTTATCACACAAAGACAAGTGAAAGCATAATAAGCATATCAATGTGCTCATAGTGAGGAAAAGAAACCTGAGGATGAAGAGGCTTGCACAATAAACTAGATGGCAAATGAATTAATAATTATTTTACCAATCAAAAGGTGCCAAGAATCTTTACAATGCTTTGTTAAATTAAACCTTCACATAACCGTGTTTTGATACAGAGACAAGAGCAAAACACTTTAATTTATCTTTTAGTGTCTTTTAAAAAGAATTTGTTTATGATTTTCTTGTTTCCTCTCCAGGATAGAAAGATGTTCTCCTTCTAGTCTCCCTTGGTCTCTGGTAGTGCAGCTAATTTTATGAGATAAGTATGTAAATATATCATATGCAAATATTAAATACTTTTAAAAAAAACCCGAAAATGTTTGCTGAAGAATTGGTAATAAACATAAAAAAGAAAGACATGCCAATTTCCTAAAGAAATTGGCATGTCTTAATGGATAAATTGATGATAACTTTTGGCAAACGAGGTGACCGAAAGCTGACCTGCTTAAGATTCTGTTTCACCCCACACAACTCTTCCATAGTTTTGATCTGTGATGCTAGGACTTAGTCCCCAAAAAGCGAAAACAAGCATTTCGGAAACTGGACTGTCTTTATGCGCTGGTCAGGTTTTTGACTTTGTACAAGAGGTGGGTGACTTAAAGCTGACCTGCAAAGGAGTTGGTTTCACCCTACACAACTCTTCCTTAGTCTTTATCTGTGATGCAAAGACTTGGTCCCCAAAAAGAGAGTATAAAATATTTTGGAAGCTGGGCTGTCTTTATGCGCTGATCAGGTGTTTGACTTTGTACAAGAGATGGGTGACTTAAAGCTGACCTGCAAAGAGTTGGTTTCACCCTACACAACTCTTCCTTAGTCTTGATCTGTGATGCAAAGACTTGGTCCCCAAAAAAGAGTATAAAACATTTCGGAAACTGGACTGTCTTTATGCGCTGATCAGGTGTTTGACTTTGTACAAGAGATGGGTGACTTAAAGCTGACTTGCAAAGGAGTTGGTGTCACCCTGCACAACTCTTTCTTAGTTTTGATCTGTGATGCAAAGACTTGGTCCCCAAAAAAAGAGGAAAAAAATGTTTTGGGCACTGGACTGTCTTTATGCGCTGATCAGGTGTTTGACTTTGTACAAGAGATGGGTGACTTAAAGCTGACCTGCAAAGGAGTTGGTGTCACCCTACACAACTCTTCCTTAGTCTTTATCTGTGATGCAAAGACTTGGTCCCCAAAAAGAGAGTATAAAACATTTCGGAAACTGGGCTGTCTTTATGCGCTGATCAGGTGTTTGACTTTGTACAAGAGATGGGTGACTTATAGCTGACCCGCAAAGGAGTTGGTTTCACCCTGCACAACTCTTTCTTAGTTTTAATCTGTGATGCAAAGACTTGGTCCCCAAAAAAAGAGGAAAAAACTGTTTTGGACACTGGACTGTCTTTATGCGCTGATCAGGTGTTTGACTTTGTACAAGAGATGGGTGACTTAAAGCTGGCCCGCAAAGGAGTTGGTGTCACCTTGCAAAACTCTTCCTTAGTCTTTATCTGTGATGCAAAGACTTGGTCCCAAAAAAAGAAGATTAACATTTCCGAAACTGGACTGTTTTTATGTGCTGATCAAGTGTTTGACTTTGTACAAGAGAGGAGTGACTAAGACCTGATTCGCTAAGGAGTCGGTTTTACCCAACAAGTCCCTGGAAAGATTTGAAGATAGTTGATTCAAAGAGTTCGTTTTTAACACGAAAACTCATATTGGAAACTGAAGGGAAAATATTTGTTGATTTCTAGACCTGATCAAAATAATAAGCTTTTAGCCCCCTAATGAACTTTTAACTTTTACCGAGTCTGACGCCTACTTCAAAACATTTTGAAACCCTTGCGTTAAACGTACTGACTCGAGGAGACACTATAGAAACTAATTCCAAATAAGTAAAAACGACGGCTTAGTGTGGAGAAGACAAAGCAGCGTTACTTTTGAAATACTCCTGGCAGCATGACCAAAATATACCATTGCCAACAATGTCCTATAGAAGCAATCGGTCTTACAAATATTTTTTATTCCCCTTTGTCCTGAGAAGGAAGACTTCTGATGGTAGTTACAAGGTCTTTCGATCGAAATGTGCTCAAGCAAACTTTTTATGTCAATCCTTCAGGCTCGGTCTAAAAATACTTTTGAGTTTCATCTCTAAATCTGTCGATCCTTTAGTTTTATATTATATATTTTATTATAAAAAAATTGATAACAAGAAGAATACTGCCAAAATTTTTCGTCATTTTTTCAATTGAATTGATGAGATTAAGATTAACTGATATCTTTCATTTTTACTGGTGGTTGCATCCACAATTGATTCGTGTCTAGAACTAGGGGTCTTAAAATGTTATCGTTTCGTTTTCATTGTCTGTTAGTTGCCATAAAGATGACTTTAGATTGTGGTGAGCCGAATTGTTGTGGCGTTGAAACTTATGTAATTCTTTTATGATAGTCCTAAGCGACCAATCTCTATGTATATAATTTTGGCGTACCTTTGCTCTTTCAGCTACCCCAAAGATTGAAGTAGAAAAAGGAAGTTCAAGAGAAACGAGAGAACTTTTTAATCTGGTGAGTGTAGCTTTGTTGTTCACTTGAAAGAAAAATTGTGCAACGTATGTGGAAGTTTTTCATGGTCGTGTGACGGGAATAATCTGTTAGTCGTTCTTGTGGTGAAGGTCTAATTAGGACGCATTCACATTCATTTTATTTTCCGAATTGAAAACTTTTTCAACTGTGATTGTTGTGGTTGTTCAAGAGAAACGAGAGTACTTTTTAATCTGGTGAGTGTAGCTTTGTTGTTCACTTGAAAGAAAAATTGTGCAACGTATGTGGAAGTTTTTCATGGTCGTGTGACGGGAATAATCTGTTAGTCGTTCTTGTGGTGAAGGTCTAATTAGGACGCATTCACATTCATTTTATTTTCCGAATTGAAAACTTTTTCAACTGTGATTGTTGTGGCATAGTTAAATAGAAGCTTGTGGAAGTTTGTCTTAGTCTTTCGGCAGGAAAAATTTGTTTGTCGTCCTTTTGGTAGAAGTCTGATGAAGTCAGAGGGCGGGTAACGTTTTATGTCTCAAATTCTTGGTCTTGATTTCATTTGCCTGTTTTGCAGGTTTTTTCGACCACAAAAAACAGGATAACAAGGAACACGATCACCTTAAGCATGAGACAATAGAAAAATATCAATCTTGGAAAGAAAGCAAAATTGGATCGAATCCCAACTCAGAGAATAAAGTGAAACATTGGGATTCGATCTGTCCCCACACCCCCCCCCCCCCCCCCCCCCCCCCCTTCTATTAGTCAGTTTATCAAATTTGACTGTGTTGGGAGGAAACTGAAAAATTGTTCGCCTTCCATCATCCCCCACCACACCTGCCTCTCTTAGACAGTTAATAGAAGTTATGTACCTTTGAAAAAAAACGTAAACGTTCCCCGTCTACCGTCCCTAATCCCACCCGCCTCTCGTAGGAGGCGGGTGGACTTACCTCTACCTTGGAAAGAAACCATAAACGGTCCCACACCTCACCACTTTCAGTCAGTTTACTTAATTCTTGATAAAGGTCATCTAAACATTTTTTATTACATTTTTACTACATTTTTACCAACATTACAGTACAATGATCCAATATTCATTGCTATAGTAATATTGCAATCCTTACTTTAATTTACAGTTGTTTATTTACAACAATTGAACAGTTTTTTCCTTTCACCCATCCGACCTCCCCCACCGCGCCCACCTCTTGCAGAAAGTTTTCTTAGCCTTTCAAAACCTTGTCTACCTTGTGGTATTAACGTTTATTTCAAAATCATGCGTTTTGTGCTACCACATATCTGTCTTAATACACATGCGTATTACTTTCATAAATATTTAAAAGTCTTCGAAGAGAGGCGGCTGTGATGGGGGGCGGTGGCAGTCCGATTCAGTTGGTGTTTGTCTCTGGTCTCTTGCCTTGCTTGTTTCAATCTAAGGAAAATGGAAGAACATCAATAAAGGGCTTTATTCTGTTTTGCTCATATCCCAATTAACTGCAGTTTGCTGTTACCGTGATTAAATAAAATAAAATATCGAGCAGCGTTTAATTCCAAATGGATACGTAACTAACTCACCGTCATTGTTCCTGAGAAATGTACCAAATTTTAAAATGCACGTGCTGAGCTATTAATGTGCTCATTAATTCTTTTGTTTGGCCACCTCGTTGCTAAAGCCGTCGTGGTTTGAAAACGTCTGAATTCGGAGGATTGGACTTCTGTAAAATATTGCCTAAACTAGGTAATATGTTGAGCTTTCTAACCTGAAATCAGTACATCAACAAATCGCCTTGAAACTCTTCATTCCGGAAGACATCCCAAACGATTCCTCCATTACTGCAATTTTCAAAAAAATCATTGTCTATCCGAAAAAGATAATTTGAACAAAACATATTTGCAGGTGTAAATATCTTTCAGACTGCTATGTTTGGTTTCAAACATTTACAAAAAAAAAACTTCAAAAAGGAATCAAAGAAAAAGCAGAGTCACGGTAAACTCCAATTCACTACTCTTGCTGATTTCCCTACCCCTCCCCTCGACTCGAGAGAGAAGTATTCGACTCTAACTGGAAAGCTTAAACTAAATATTTTGGTGCAGATGAAGTTACCGTCGCATTCACTGGGATAAAGTTAAAAAATAGCGAAGTGAGTGAAAGCCCTAGATGCTGCTACAGTACCGCTCGCATACACGTTAACCAAAAAACGCAAATAAAAAGCGCCAAAAGTCGCACGCAAGTACGAATACAAAAATCGCACGCGCGCGCATAAGCTTGACACATCTGCCTCATTGGTATGCATGACGTAGACCTTTTGTTTTTCTATTGTTGGCAGTTTATCGTGTTAAAGAATAGTCAACAATTTAAGAGCACTAAAATACAACACGGCTACCAACTACGAGTAAAATTGTTCGTTTCAATCACCATTCGAACCGTTACATACGAAAGCGACTTCGTAATCGGATTATATAAACGATCTATTATTTTCCAACGGAATCCTGTTATCAAAAATATTCATTTCTCACTTATAAAAAATAGCCGTCGCAACGGCTCGAGATTGTGATCAAAATAAATTTATTCTCAGTGTATCGTATATCGGCAGAATCAGCTGCGGCGCCCGTTTGTAACCAGTTGTCGCGTTCTGAATACAAACCCACACGCGAATGCTTATTTGATAGCTTTCATCATCTTCCTACAAGCTAGACTTCTTTAACACATACCTACAGGTCGTTAAAACAAGTTCTACTCTAAAGAGCGAATAGGAACATATTCTTGATTGTACGAATCATTTGGACAGAATTCGAGAAATCAAAGTCTAAATTTGGCCAACGATATTTTCGTTAACAAATTTAGCGTCCCCAAAAGGCAGCTACACGTACTCTATTACAGAGGTGTGGATCTGCGCAATGGTCTTACAAGTACCCTTAAGACAGCACATGATCACGGCAGCAAAGTTAAGTTTCTTTTCGTATTCGTGGATCCATTATTTTGATGAGTGTTACACCTATTAACCCTATGTCTCTCCCAAAACAGAAAGATGTTTAAAGGCTCCCTGATGATGACGATAATTTCTTTGTATATAAGAACCCGATGTCACGGACCACACCCTTTAAATGACGGTTTCCTTAATTCTCGTCAAAATAAGTTTGGTAATGATTCGATCCCCAACAATAAATCTAAACTCCTGTTGATGTGAGTTGCTGATTCAAAAATTCTTTTAGAAGATGGTTGAGGGCGTTGGTGCCAACAAAAAAGGTAGACTGTAAACTGTAAACTTATAAATACAAATCAAATCGGTTCAGTTTTTGTCAACTGTGGTTCCTGGTTTGTCCAATTCGCGGATTACCAAAGAGTCTACCAGACAGTTTGAAAAGAAGTCAGCAAATGTGAATTGCACTTGATTTGTTTTTGAATCTCAACCTTGGAGAGGTGGGTAGTCCAATGTAAAAATGTTTAGGGCGTTCGTTGCAAACAAATTTCTGTGTAAAACAACCTGCAAGGTCCATGAAGTCTTAGCCGAATGAAACTGTGTCACGCTTGTAAAAGCTGTTGAAAAATTCGCTTTAGCTTAAGAAAATTTTGAGTGAATATTTTCAATCAAAAAATTCAAAACAATGTTTACTACGTTACTAAAACGTTTACAGATCCTATCACTTATTTTATGGGTATCTTTTGAAGCTCTGAAATAGTATCATGATTAGACTAATTTAGCAAAGGTCATCATTGGTTGAAAAGTTCTAATCCAAAACTTCTACCCCGTAAAAGGTGTAAAGAGCAACTCTGCCATTTCAGTCCTTAGTGTAAAACAATTTGCTGCCTAAAATCGAACAATGAATTCATAAAAAGAAACTTTACCACTAGTTTCTACCTACCTCAGCCAGGCATCTCCACCCGCCAGGCATAACCCCACCCCAGGGGTTGCAACCCATAAGTACACACAAATTCACTAAGTGGAATTGAAAGTGCTAGAATAAATCTCACGCACATGTACTACTGGCCAAATTTCTTCTGTTTTACATAATTTATGGAAATTGTATGAAGATACGATACATACATAAAATAAATTCATACTTAAGAAAGAAAATATAGTGCTATTGAATACCTGTTGATGACTTGCACTTGGAGGATATATACAACCTTGTTGTGTGAAGTTGAAGTACAACTTGAGATGTGACTTCCCTTTGTTTTCTCAGAAGGAGCTAAAAACAGAAATGGTTTAAAACAGTTTGAGATATTATGGGATACCAAACCAGTCAATATTCCCTCTGTATTTCTGTGACCCATTTTACTTTTTATGTGGTCAATTTGACTTTGTATATGGTCATATTTTTCCTTTTTGTATGGTCAACTCGAGTTTTTATGTGGTCAACTTTTTACTTTCCATAAGATCAATTTTTACTTTTTATATAGTCAACTCAACTTTTAACTTTTTATATGGTTAAGTTGACTTGTTATATGGTCAATTTTTTTCTATTTATATCTGTCAGTGTAGAATGCAGACTGCAGACTTCAAAGGGGGGGGGGGAGGGGGGTAAAGAGCAGACTGAGGGTAAAATGCAGACTGAAGACTGCAGACCAGGGGTAAAATGCTGATTCAGTTCTAAAACAAACCACTTACCCAGAAAAGCTTCAAGAGTGAGCTGGGATCGAGGCCACATAAGTTTTGAGAGGCTGGCAATAATGGTCATGGCAATTGATGTTTTGAACCTCACTTCCTCAGATGGTTTTGGTGTTGACATATTGTTTTAAGGTAAGAATGATTGGAAACATCAGTGTTTGAATATGCAGTTCACAGCCAGCAAAATGCATTTCCCATGTTAAGGAATAAACAGTTCTGTTCAGCAACATTAGGTAGCTTCAACATACATGTAGCTCATGTAATACTTTGTTTGGCCTTGAAAGAATTAGTGATAGACTTTCATCACACATTGGCAATTTTCAATTACTTGGATGATAAAAACCTGTTTCTTGTACTGTTGTTCAGTTTGCGCTGCAAAGGTAGGTGGCATCTTGGAATTGGTGCTCTGTATCTGAAGCTTCAAGATGTTCAACACCTTGCTCTGCGCTTTGCAATCAGGTTGATACTGTGGTGATAAACAGATCTGCAGTCTTCTGAGTCTACATTTTACCCTCAGTCTGCATTTTGAACCTGTTCTGCAGTCTATGTTTTTGCAATGACCATACAAAAAGTTGAGTTGACCATATAAAAATTAAAATTGATCTTATCAAAAGTAAAAAGTTGACCACTTAGAAACTCAAGTTGACCATATAAAAAGTAAAAAGTTGACCATATAAAAAGTAAAAAGTTGACCATATAAAAAGTAAAATGGGGGCACAGAAATACAGAGGGAATATTGACTGGTTTGGCACCTCATAAGATATTACACCTTTTCTTGTTTGACATTAAGACTTGTAGTAAGTGTGATAATATGAACAAGTAGTGCAATAATTAGGCTCTGACTCTATGCATCCATAAGAGATCTGTAAAATATTATGGAAAGTTGTATCTTCTCTGGTGACCACATGATGATTATTGATTGAAAATGGCAATGATACAGGGTAGATTTGGCTGGAGTCAGCCCTTGTAACAAAACCAACCAATGATACAAAAAGGAGACATTTGCCCAGTTTTAACAATCTACATGTACACATACTTATACACGATTCCCAATGAAAAAAGTATTCAGGTCTATCATGATTCATCAGTCAGTCAAGACCAACTACCACAACAGTGATACTATAAGGTAGATTGTCACACTTTTCTTTGGATAGAAGGAAAGTAAGATTTTTTTTTGTTCAAGATCACTCCAAAAGTGAAAAATCATGTTGACACCATAAGACAGAAATAATCAAATTAGAAGACAAGTGGAACAAATCAATTAAAATAAAAAACTACTTCATGTAAAATATTTAATTACTTGGGCAACCTGGGTGCTAGCCTAATATAGTGCTTATGCCTGACTTTCAGATGGTGTTCAATATTGATCTGCAGAGTAATTTTTGACAAAAATGTTTGGAAAAATTACTTTGAAGCGATGCATTTTGAAAAGTTCAATTCAGTATGAGCATGCTTGCTCAACCTCAATTTTTTTTTTTTGGGGGGGGGGGGGGACCTTGGATTTCTGGTGTATTAGTGCAATAAATCTAAATGGAAAAAATTTGGTTTGTAAATTACAGTAAGGAACTTGAACCAGGTTAATAAGTATGATTTACATGTACATGTACCACTCCTTAATATTTAACTGAATGCGTAAAAGGCTTTTCCACAGGTTACATACCAAGAACTCATCACAGGAGACAACAAAGGATCGTCCAAAGACCTTGAACCAAGGCTGACATACATATCTCATACCAAGGCTTGCCTGTACACCACAACCAAGGCTCATATCTTTACCACTGATCTATTGACTGAATTGAACACAACAAATAAGTATATCTTTCAAGTCGTATCAGTATACAGACTTTGTTATGTTGTTGATGATCACCAACACTGGCTTTCATTCTCGGGCAAAAAAATCATATTCCTTTAATCATTGATAACAATTACTGTACACCATTTGTAATTATTGTAATGTGAGACAAACTTTCTTTAAGTTCCAATATCTTGCTTTTTTGATAAAAATTTCTAATGATGGTGTGGACTACTGAGCTGTGCCATACTCGTTTCTACTGTTTCATATTACCCTTATATTATAGCAGCCTTTTTCAGGTTTTAGAAAAAATTAAAAAAGTTATTCACTCGTCTAGGTTTTACTACATATTGAGAAAAGCTGTACTGTCAGTCTTACGTATTCTAGACCTTGGGCACAGACTGACCTTGGCTGGTGAATTGCATACATGTGCAGAGTAGAAATAATTTTTTAATACCAAAAAATAACCAATTGGCGATTGGGCATCAGGCCATGCTCTGAACTACTCTTGACTGCCCAACAGAGGGATTAATCCAATGAGCCCCCTCCAATATGAAATTTCCAAGCTTAGAAACCTTTCCATCTCTGATCAAGGCTTCAAGTATTATAACCTTCGTGTAATCTCTAGCATTTAAACAAATGAGCAACTCAGCACACACACTGTACAAATAGATTAAGATCACGTCGTGTCTTAAAATCCTTGTAATGAGTACACTGAACAGTTTCTGCTTCAGTCGCTACTAAGACAAATAAAAGAAGCAAAAAAAAATGTTGTGGTGTAAGATGCCTTCCAACACCACTGAGAAAGAGGACAAAGTAAACAAAGAACCACTGATCGTATTCGAGTGAGACAATGTTGTTATAGGTCGAGCGCTATCTCCTTAGTATCTACGTAGAATGTAGCATTGATTGCTTCAAACCTCATCTCATGCCGATGTGAGGCTCAAAACAATGTTTCAAAAAGAGGTTATCCTTACCACTCCACAAAAAGGGCAAAAAAGATCCACGCTAGACGACCACAGGAAGGGTAGGTGGTTGCACGACAGTATGTACAAAGAGTATTTTTTCCTTTTTTTGCATCCTTTTTCCATCCAAACACCATCAAGCAAGAACCAAAATGTAATGAAAAGAGATTGATATTTAAGCAGCTGTTTTTGCTCCTACTTTAGGGACGGAATGAGTAGTTCAAATTCCTTTGCTCTCAGAGCATACGTCGCCATGTTTAAACTTCCTTTTAACTAGTTTCCAGTAATGTTCGTCCAAAAAGGCGAGTGCACACGCAACCAGGCAAAGTTTCCGCACAGCCCCATACTTCATTATACATACAGTCCTTTGTTAGAAGAAAACAATAGCGTAAGGTGACGGGAAATGATGGGTAGTGCCGACGAATGATGTGTGATGACAGGGAATGATGTATAGTGACAGTAAATGATGTGTAATGCGATGATTAAAGTCTACTGGTGGCAGACGATGGCTACTGACGGAGGATTAAAAGCAATAACGGCAAAAATGTACATCTGTATCTTTGAAGTGTCCCTGAATCGTCCCCTTGATTACGTTTGCTTGAGTAACTCGTATTGCAAATTAAGTCCCATGTAAACAAGTGAATGAGGTATAATAGTGGCGAATGATGTATAGTGACGGCAAATGATGAGTAGTGCCGGCGAATGATGTGTGATGACAGTGAATGATGTATAGTGACAGTAAATGATGTTTAATGCGATGATTAAAGTCTCCTGGCGGCAGACGATGGCTACTGACGGAGGATTAAATGCAATAACGGTAAAAATGTACATCTATATCTTGGAAGTGTCCCTGAATCGTCCCCTTGATTACGTTTGCTTGAGTAGCTCGTATTGCAAATTAGTCCCGTGTCAAAGAGTAACTAGCGAAGCCATGTCAGTTGTTACAATAAACAATGGCTTACTGATATTTGACATAAGAAGATACCGTGCCTCCCCCAACCCCTTATCCCTTCTCTTTCGAGAAGGCAATCTATGATTCAAATGTACGCAGTTTTTATGAAGACAGTTGTCATTCTGTCACTCTAATATTTTTCCAGTGGAGGACTCGATCAAAGCAGGGCAAATATTTTCAGATTCTCACTCAAAAGGAAGCCCTCGAGCAATAATCTCATTACTGATCGTCACTTAACAGTTCGGTGGACTGGTACTGAGTATAGCACATTTATAGCTTTATTTAAATGATTTGTCCTCTTTCTCGGACATCACTTCACATCAGAGGCTGTTCAAAATTCATTGAGTTGATAATGTAAATTGGCCACCGTTAGGAGTTTCTTCAACTCAGTTAATAAAACCAAATTATTTTGTTATATCCCCCACCAACGTAGCACCACAGTCTCTTTAAAAACTTACCCTTTTAATCGATATTCACTTGAGAGCCATTCGACAGCACTTTTCTTGTCTGGTGTTGCTTCCCTTTTTCCTTGCCTGGAGTAGTAACCCAAACGAGGTTGCACGGGCACAAACTGGGCACGAACTGGGCGCGAACTCATTCGTAGGACCGAAATTAGATTTGAACATTTGAATTTTATTTTTTTCAGTGATAAGTCATCGTACGTCTGTCTAGATGACGCCATTTGTATCAGTTGAACTAAGTCTCATGGATATTTTAGTGATTCCTAGTAAGCCTCGAGCATCATTAATTGTCCAAACTTTTTGTTTACTTGTTTTTATCTTGTTTTTTTTTCAAATTTATTTAATTACAAAAGGAAATACAAAACAAAACAAAAACAGTAAAAAACAAAAATAGTAAAAAGCAAAAAACAAAAAATTACTACTTACAGAGTTACAAAAGAGACACACGTTACAAGAGTTGCGCTAATTACAATGATGCTTTACTTACATTTCTCTTGCTTACATTAAAACCATTAACACATACAGTGATATCACAAGTTAAACAGCTCACATTTTGAATCTTAAATTGCAGGGGCTAATTGCACTAAATTATTTCTAAAAATTGGCTACAAGTTATATTTTGGTATTTCTTCTGATCTGTTACTTTTTTAAAAATTATTTTCTCTTTTTTTCTTTCCTTCTTTCTTTGGGGCGAAAACATATTCTACGCAAAGCGTTCTATTTTAACTATATGTTTTACATATGAGAGAAGGACTGGTTTCGGAGTCATGGGCTCGGGAGACCTTATCCAGCGAGGATGGAAAGGGCTTCCATCTTCTTGTGTTGCTTGGTGTCGTGTTTTCAAAGTGATGTATACGTTTCAGATGAGTCAAGAAATCGTTTCCAGTTGGATAAAGTTATTTCGATCGACATATTCGAATATAGTGTTTAGCCATTATGCAACAAAAATTTATATGGAGTTTGAAATTGCGGCTGTCAGGCTTAGGACCCAAAGCGGTTTCCATGTGTGGTTGATTGTCTGCTGGGAGAATATGACACGACTGAAGACATGTCCCAAGATTCTACTGAAGCATTTTTGTTCTTTGCATTGCCAGAATAAGTGCATAAGATTTTCTTTTTCGTCATGGAAAAAAGGTGCATTTTCCGTCCTGTCTAATTCTTATTTTTTGTGAATAGCTATTTGTCGCTATCAGTCTTAAAAAAAATCTGAATTGAAATCTATTAGTTTAGAGTTCCTTGTGCACACGGCAGATGTTTGATACACTTTCCTCCAATCAACGTTTATATCGGTCGTGGAACTGATAACTTTGTGTCACTTCTCTTGACATGATATTGGTCGTTAGCCTTTATCAGATGTAAGTTTATGGTATAAAATTCTTGAAGACTTTTGGCTTTTTAAAAATGTAGTAAAAAAGGCTTTCGTATTTCAGTTGTGTTTTTGGGATTTGTCGATGCAAAAGTTTCAATGCGGAAATTATTCCAAAAAAAGTTCGCGGTTTTACTTAGATTTCAAATTTATTGTGAATGCTGACAAGGGAAGTAAAATTATAAGAATTCTCCATTAAATGTTTGTTTGCTTGCTGATTCACTGCGACAGCAGTGGTCATAGTCAAAAATGTTTTTTTTTTTCATTTCCCTACTAGCCTTAACATATTATCTGACAATCCTTATGGCAGTATTTTGAGTGAGACTAGGTGTACATCGCTTGATAAATTGCGGAAATCGAGAAAGGAAAACAATAACTTGAATATTGAACGGGCCACTTAGACTCTTCTGAGAACTATTATTGTTATCATAACCATTAAAAATGATGTAAAATGTGAATACGTTTCTGCTACTTGCTTTGCAGCGAGAGCTAACCACGAGTATGGCCTACTTGAGTGCTTTATTGAAATGGTCGCTTCAAAAGTGATAGATGTAGTAAACAACGTATACTGTGGAATTTCATTGAGCTTGTAGGTTAATATTTAGTCTTTCAGCCGGTAAATGTGCGAAAGAAATGCAAATATTATAATAAAAGCAACAATAACAATACATCAGAGTTAAAGAGTTCGTGTGCATGTTATTTCGTTGCAAGGTTGTCTAAATTACGGTCCAAAACTCCACTAGGAGTGAAAATTGACTTTTTTGCTTATCAAAATTTTGATAACATTCGTAACTACCCTTTGTTATAAAAAAAATTATGAAGTATGTTTATGCAAAAACATATGGCTCTCTAAATTTAGTCTGCTTTTTTGCAATTATTGATGTGTTAAAATATTCTCTCCTGCTGGAATATCATCAATATCTCAATGATATTCAGGCAGCTGTATATGAACTGTCAGATCCTACGAATATCAGCTAAACTGTTGTAGAGGAGTTCACAAATTCGTTTCCAGATTAAGTAGGAAAAAGGCAAGAACTAAGGTAAGAAAAAGTTCTCTGCTCCTTATTGCTAATATCATATTATAAGTAATACTTTAACTCATCTCAGTGAATTTATTTTAATATTGAGCATAAGAAATAAGACGATGGTGGAAATTACGAGACTTATTAGTAATTTGTACTTTTGGAAGCATTTGCGAAAATCGGTCTCGTCCAGTTAACAGAAACCTCTTTGGCTGAAAACAAGGGTTACACTTCAACTTGTTTAACTTGCGAATGTAGACTCGTTCAAATGGTAAGTAACGAGAAAAGCAACCCCTATGAACGGAGAAAAATTAGGATTGGAGAACTGAGTTGGTATATCGGCTTGTGGATTTACTCAACCTCTTCGAGTTAACAGAAACCTCCTTGCCTGCAAACAAGAGTTACGATTTTAACTGCGAGTGTAGACTTATTCAATTGGTCAATTACGAGAAAATCAACCCTTACTAAGAACGGCGGCCTATGAATCTACTGGTATTGTAGTTTTGTAGGATGGTAGTATATCAAGTGGTGCGCTACTCAACCTCTCTAAGAAGTATGTTACTTTCATTTATTCAATAATATGTCTAAGATTCCATGGACAATACATGTATTTATTACTCAACTGTTTCAGTTATTGTTGTTATATTTTGCACTTTGGGCGTTCACTGTCGCCGCAGCAGTTCTGAAAAATCCGTTGCAGGTGGTAAGGAAGTGATAAGCACTCAGTTTTAAAGTATGCTTATATAGTCATAAGTATAAGGCTGTCGTGTCAAACGGCGAAATGATGTTTGTTAATTAACAGCCGATTTTAAGTTGACCACACTAATGGAGTCTTATTGACCAGACGCCGTGACAGTTGATTAGTAGGTACCTTCGCTATTTTGTGCCGCTTTTTTTTTTACCCTTTTAAACTTTTTTAAGTCTCCGACAGTTACATTGTGATTGCATTTTTTTTCAGTTTTATTTCTGGATTCCCTTTCTCTGAAATTCAGTTGTGTAATAATTAACTTTCCCTCTTCCTTTGTCATAATTTGCACACCCCTCCTTACTTTCATACAACTCTTTCTTATTTTTCTGCTGCCCTGTTTTCTCACCAACAGACACTTTTAAGGTGTCATTCAGCATATCACAAGAAGAACTCTCAGAATTAAAAAAAAAGTCGTAATTTTTTCAACAATTTCTTTTCAAAGTGGCAATTAGTCGTGAAGCTAATTAACTCCAAAGCTAAAATTTATATTTCGCGAGTAAAACAAAAAATTTAAATTTAGGCCGGAGAAGTCGATTCTAGTGAATTCCACTTTCTCCATATGTACACTGAATCAAAGATAGGACTTGGGTTATTTCACCAGAAATGGAAAGGCGTTCAAACAAATGAGCCAAAGACTACTTTTTCCGTCATCATGCTTCTTCAAGTCTTCCTTCCTTTTAATGATCCTACTTTTTAGTCTAAAATTATTAAACACGTATGATAATGGAATATGCATATTTTGATAAAAGATATTCAGAATGCACAACTTTCATGTCTTTGAATAATTGACTCGCAATTGCACTTTTGCAAGTTGACTATCGCTGCGACTCCAAAACCTTCTTTTTTTTTTTTTAATTAATTATTATTCTTTTAAAGGTGATAATGGAGCAAGCTACACCAGGTGACGTGTAAGTAAAGCATATTTAAGTATATCGTAAATATTTTTCTAAATGCTCCTCTACATTTTCAAAGAAAAAATCGCTATCTTCTAAACAATTTGGTAAAGTCGTGGAAAATTTCAATAGAATAGAAAATTAAGTAACATCGTTGTGTAACATAAACAGATATATATTTAAAAAAAACCTTAACATGGTTTAACACGAATTGAAATGCCAAATTAAATATACATTTTTTAGAAAAGATTGTTTCGTTGCTGATAAAAAAAGTAGGGCACAAACTTAACACAGCCTCTACTAATTTAATTCTATAAGAATAAAAGATCGAATATTTTATTCGGGAAAAAGTCTCTCTAGAGTTTTTCGGTTTTTAAAATCACATAGGGAAGAAACGATAACGGTGGTTGTTCAAGAAGATGACGTTATGCAAGCCTGTCCAAATGACACATTCCCATTACATGAAGACGTTTTTCAACCCTTTTGCAAACGACGGAAGGCAGGAAAAGAAGAAAAGGAAATGGCTAGGATCTGTGAAATTTTCTCTTCAAAGGACCACTCACTTGAGCATGAAAGTTTCATGGCAGAATTTGGTATGTGCCCTGGCTTCATCGAAAAACGTTAGTTGCATGAAACAATTGACAGTCAATCTTCAAGGCTATTCCTTTGCATGAGTGGTCACGGGGTATCGACAACTCTCGGTGACAATCAATAAAACTCTAAGCTAATCTCCGAGACATCAGAGTGGTCTTAATTTCTTTCTTAAATTTTCTTCAAGATCCTGATCACGCATATCCTGGAATTCATTCCGCTGAAGGAGAAGCAGAGGCAGCGGGTAACTAAGCAACATTAACGATTAAAGACGTCATGTAGACTGTTAAGCAGGCAGATACAGAGAGACATATGGTAGGACGACAGGAAGACAGACAGACAGACAAAAAGACAGCAGACGTCCAGGCATACACACAAAAAGACGGAAATACCAAAAGACAAATAGACAGAAAGACAGAGTAATCTAGTATTGTCAACTGAGTTGATAACGTAAATTGGCCACCGTAAAGAGTTTAAAAGCTGACGTTTCAATCGAGTGTTAGCCCTTCGTCTGAGCGATGACAGAAAAACAAACAGGCAGACAGACAAGCAAACGGCTATATAGACAGAGAGGTAGAAAGATTGACAGACAAAGAGGCAGACAGTCAGGCAGAGAGACAGAGAAACAGACAGGTAGACAGAGAAGCAGACAGACGGGCAGACAGAGAGTCAGGCAGAGAGACAGACAGACAGGCAATCAAGCAGACAGGTGGAAAGTCAGGCAGAGAGACAGACAGATAGGCAGAGAGGCAGACAGACACGACGTCAGAAAGGCAGACAGACAGACAGAGAGCTTGCAGAGAGACAGGCAGACATGCGGACAGGCTAACATACACACAGTCAGACAGAGAGACAGGCTGACAGACATACGGACAGGGAAACAGACAGACAGATACGCAGGTAGGCAGACAGATACAACGCCAGAAAGGCAGACAGACAGACAGAGAGTCATGCAGGGACATAGACAGATAGACATACATACAGGCAAACAGTCACTCAGGCAGACAGACAGACAAACAGACACTTAGGAAGACAGACAGACATACGGGCAGAAAAACAGACACTTAGAAGACAGAAAGACAGACAGACGAACAAATGAGTAGGAAGGGAGGAAGAAGGGCTTTGTCTGATGATGATTCCTGCTTCTTAGATGTTGAAAAAAAACTTGATGACGCCTTGAGAGGAGAACACTATGACTCGATTAAAGATCACGTAAATCCAAGGATTCTATCCAGCTGTAAGACTAACGCTTTATTCAAGGCATTTGAGGTAAGATGTTTCCTCTTCTCCGAGCATGAGCTCTTTATGAATAAGTGCCTAAAAAGCTCTTGTTAGCTTTTGGGAAGCCTCTAGAATTAAAGCCCTAAAGAGAGAGCGAATATTGACTTGATAAAACGATTTTGGTATTACTTCCTTATTTAGAACTAAGACAAGCTTCGAGTTAAACTAAGCTGTGATACGAAACTAAGCTGTGATATCAATACGCTTTGAGGAGGACATACGGTGTACAATCACCAATAGCCATGCTGATCTCAAAAAATTTTTACGGCAGGTGAAGAAGAAAATCACAGATATTCCCGATAGTGGTGGAGCTGAGAGGAATGAGTTTGAAACACTGGCAAACTCAGTGGATGAGTTCACGGCGGCTTTAATACATCCGTTAAAATCTGACGACCACGCTAGACGCACTTTTAGCAGCTGCTTGGAAACTGTAATGGAAAAAGCCATCGACACAGAGCAGAAGAAGGTATTACATAGTTGGAAAGTGTAACTCATTTAGCGACGCAGCTAGATGTATGTAAAAATCTTACTGCATGCTGTCATCATGCGATTCGATTCGTGCTCTCTTTCGTGCAAAGTCATTTTGGCAATGACGCGTTGTTATTTTGACAACAAAACGTAAAATTGAACTCGCTCACGTGCGCCATGAGATGGAAATGAGTGACGTAAGGGTTTATTGCGGACTTAAATATCATTAACAAAAAAATTTGCTGACTTCAAAGGAAGTCAAACAGAACTCGAAGTAATTTTATTTAAATACTTCGATCACTGGAATTGAACGTTAGTGACCAAGTCACAGTCAAATGGTCAAGAGAAGCATGTCAGTAGTCGCAGATTTCATGGCGTGCGAGCAGGTCCTCATGATTAGCACTTCGCCGCGAACGTTGCTTTACCCGTGGGAAAGTATGAGACTTTGAGCGGGGTCTCAGTGGAGTGATAGCTTTTACGGCTAACGGTTAATATTTTGGTCATTTTACGCCTGACGGTTAATATTACTTCATTGTTGTCATTGGAATTTTTTCTTTTTACGGTTAACTTTTTTTTTTCGAGTAACGGTCAAATTTGTCAATTTTACGCCAAACGGCTAATTCTTTTTGGCCGTTTTACGGCTCTCGGTTAACCCCATCGTGACCCTCTCGAGCAACGTGTGAGGGTTCTGCGAGGGGTCTGGCACTCGCTATTAGTGCCAGACAACCGGCATGACTCGTCTTGCGTCCTATAGCGCTCTCGGCTCATGATGAAGGCCTTCTCGCAGGCTACAGATTTCATAGAATCAAAACCATCGTAATTTCGAAGAACTCGCGGTGCTTATTTCAAACTTTTGCCCTCTTTGATTGTTTCTTTGTGTAGTTTATATCTCATCCAGTGATTTACAAGTTACTCGAGGCTAAATGGTACGGTTCATTTGCTTCTCTGCGGAAAAGCTCTGCGACAAGTCTACGCTTCTGGAAATACATCCTTCTCAACATCTGGGCTGTGTTTGATTTCTTCCTTTTCCCATTCCTTTTGACGTTCTTTTTCATGATTAGACAGATAAAAATCCGCTCACGAAAAATGACAGGTACGTTTGCATGTTCGATGACGTTTAGTTAACCGATAGTGTTGGTAGTATTTAATTTCTGAGATTCTGACCTATTCGGACAGTAGGACAAATGACTGAGTGCTCGGGAAAACATTGGGATAACTAAGCTGGTTTGTAAGTGCAACGCAAAATAGCACAGGAGACAAATACTGACACACAGGCGAAGTGATTATTCGCATTTTCTCGCTAAAAACAGATGACTTCGATTGCTGCTTTGCGCTTGAAGGACTTGGAAAATTATTGTGCCGATTTGAAGCTGTGATTTTGCGAAATGATAAGTCAAGTGAGCTTCTAAACAGACAAAAAGGTAAAGGAACAGGAGAGGAAATTGGGGGAGGGGAAAACAGAGACCAATGGGGAGGGAAATGCTCTGCTCTTGTCCCTTACCTTAAGTGATGATGTGTTAACCAGTGGTAAATTATATTTAAGGCAAACTTCAGCGACAAAATCATTCTTTCATGATTTCTCAATCACATTTCATAGACACAGAAGTCTGTTTTGCGATATCCCTCTCTGGCCAAGCATCGGAAGAGACGTTTGCTTTAATAAAGAAGTCGATCAACTACATAGTGCATCAATACGGCTGTCACTCAACCAACTATTGCATAATGTTACGTCAGGACGACCATGTTCCGATTACCAGTATAACCTTCGAATTTGAAGACGCCACAGAGACAGATATATTTAACAAAGTAAATAAATTAACAAAGCCCACTGCAATTCGTCCTCTGCTTTGTAACGACTTACGCGCTGTTCGCGATGCATTCAAAAGCCCTCGCGTTCGCTTAGAAAGCAAAAAGGTAAGTTGGCCCGTAACATTACCTTCCTTGAACGAGTGTGCGTGTAATCGAATAAATTAAACGAATGAATTGAAGTAAGAATTATTTGAACCATATTTTAAATGTAAAACCGAAGTAGCAGTACGCAGGGAGAGTATTGCAAAATTGAAGTGGTTGATGGCTGGAGCTGAATTAATTTCTTTTTCATAAATACACTTTTCTTAATCACTAGGTAAGGCAACATTGAAGGATCATTCGCCTCAAGTAATGTAGAATTTGCATCTAAACTACCGTTATTTATCTTAGCATTCCTGCATATAAAGTGCCTTTCTGGGTTTCTTATGTAGATGAGCTGATGGAGCTTTATGCCCAGTTAACGCTCCTCTCTTTCTCCAGGTCCTCATCGTGTTCGTAAATGACCTGAGCAATGTGGAGGGTGTTCGGGTCGTAATCGAGGAAATTCGAGAAATGGACGTTCAGCTCGTCGCTGTTGGATTTGGAGAGCAAGCCAATCTAAATGAACTAGAAAATATTACAGAACGGGATGCCCTTCACTTTGAAGAATTTGAATCGGCAAGGACTTTGGGAACAGCTGTTATACAAGGTAACTAAAACGGTAACTGTTTCGTATCATTCTCTCTTCAAAAATCAGTACAGTTAATGCCGGCGTTTTAATGGAAGCATTTGGCTGCACCGCTCCAAATAATTATGAACGCATTATCCTAAAATTTATTTAATAAACCTGTCCTATGATGGAGAGTATTTTACCTAGTGGATGGGTAACTTAACTGCCAAAGTTTTGAACGGAAATACACTTCTCAGGAGATCAGCCAAACCCTCACCATTTAAGAACAGCTTTGACAAAATAGGTACTCGTTTCACTTACTAGAATGAAAACCATACGTCTGATTATTAACATCAAAACATGCTGACATAAGAAAGGAAAGATAAAAGGCGCTCTTTCCATCATCCTAAGAATCTTTCAGGGGTATTTACATATTGTTTTTCATGTGCTTCTAAGAGACCTTCTAAATGAGTTTTTTTTTCTTGTAGACTTGGAAGGAAAAGACATCTATGGTAAGAATTTAAGAGAAATTTATTTAAACCATAATAAAGCAATAGAAATTTCATAACACCTTTTCAGTACCTATATCCACTTCTTGTGCACGACTAATAAAGATGCCTCTAAAATGCCTTGTACACGGTTTCATCAAAAACAGCGTAAACTAATACCAATTCAATGAATGAAAAGAAAAACAACAACAAATTCAAGTACGAGATGGTCGCGCGCATAGTACCTATTTTGTAAACCACTAAAATTAGAAGTGTTTGGGAACTAAGGAATGTTCTGGCTAAGTGCTTGGGAATTGTTGAGGCTTGTTAGATTATCTTGAAACCCTAATGCGAGTCTTGTGGGCCTTGGTTTGTTATGGAAGACCACACATTTTTTTTAGTCTTTTGAATGATGTGTCCTTGACCGTTGTAATAAGGCTTAATTCTCGTACGATAATCGTCATCGCCAGTCGTGTTTGTCCTTGCTTAGAGCTCTCAACGGGAGGTTTTGATTAGATTTTAGTTCTCGAAGAATTTTTTTTTTTTCAGGTACTTCGTGATTCATTTCCAATACCTTTTAAAATTGTTTAGCTTAGTGTTCTAAAATATGTTTACCCTGCCAAGGTCAGTTGTCCCGTAAGCCCAAACATGCCTACCGATAGGGTATATAAGAGTATGTGCCTGGGGCTGAATTAGAGACACTGAGACTCAGCCATTCAAATGAAAAGCCACTATTGAGAGTCATTAGGCAGAGAGTGAATAGAAGTTCCTGATCAGACTGCTGGTGCCTCCCGTGTGCGCGAGTTTCTCAAGCTAGTCAGTCACAACAGTCCAGCACCTATAAGAGCAAGGCATTGTGCAAAGCTATAAGGCTTCAGGAAATGATATAGCAAAATAAGTACTTCCGTTTACTGACTGCTCCACTAAACTGCAAATTTCAAATCTTAGTCTTACGGCTTGAAAAGAATAAAGGAATAGAGGCACAGGAGTCTTTTCTGTGTCTGTGAATGTGTTCCTTATTTAAAAAGTATTTAAGCCTACTACGGAATAATTTGTAATTTTTAAATTTCATCGCAGAAATTTACGTGGATTACTTTACAACTCCTTACTTCATCTTCTTACGCGACACATTAAGTGCAGTCGCCTTACTCGGCCTTCACTTTGCCATTTGCCTAACTCCGTCAGCCATCGCCTTTACCTCTATTGAGTGGGTTGTGTTGCTTTTCTTTCTGGGAAGAATTGTTATGGTAGCTGATCAGTTCATTTGCGCCATAAAGACAGAGAGGAAACTGGCGATACGAAAGCGACACAGATGCCTCAAGAACGCTTCGTACGAAGAATGTTCTGATCCAAATCAAAAGGCAGACTCATCCAATGTGAAAATTGCGCTGAGAAAATTTGTCAACTACTGCAAGTGGGTGATTATTTATTTATGAATTATTTCATTCTATTAGTCCTTAGTGTTAAACAACAGAAGGAAGCCATGAGAAAACTCGAAATAGTAGTTTATTTGTAAGGTGGTTAATAAGTTTGTCTCGGATACTTCCTCGTGCGGAGCGCACCAGATACGCATGATGTTTTGGCCCACTGCTGATAAACTTTCCTACTTGTCCACATAGCCTCAAATCAAAATACTTTACTCGCTGCATCATCTTGACCAATAGCGAGTCCTAATTTTCTTGCAGTTGTTTATTTAGCAATATCACCACAAGATTTAAAATAACATGGCTTATGGCTATGAATTATCAGTTGTAGCCAGAAATTTTAAACAGGGGCTAAAGGCTTTTTTATCTTTATGAGAGAGAAGGTAAAGGTGCTTGACAAACAACTTCAATTTTCTCTACTATTAATAGCGTATGCTTATCAAGTTAACTGTTAACTAGGGCATGCAATTTTTTTTTTACTAGTGACCCCTGGCATGTGTGTGACGTCGTCATTCTGATCATCTACATCGTGACAGCCACTCTACGCATGTTAACATGGGTTTCGTCCTCTTCAGTGTCAGGCAATAGGACCTTGGCTATCACTGGTTATTTGTATGGCTTAATCGCTTTGTTTCTCACGGAGCGCGCTTTTGGTCACGTGATGGAGGTTGATAGGGGTATGGGTGCCATACAAATTGCTGTGTTTGTTATTCTGAAAGATTTGCGTACTATCTTTTGGCTTTTTATTGCAACTGTTCTCGGATTCTCACTAGTGATAACAAAGATTTTTATGGTCGAAACATCATACATTTCGTCAGGGAATTCTCACAATGATCGGTAAGTATGACCTTTACGTTTCAGTTTTCGTTAGAAAATAGGTAGCTTTTACCTTATTCGCTAGTTTTATACTTGACTGATAAATGCAATAAGTAAATGAGGCATTTTCCATTCTGTGTTATTAATGAGCCGTAATTACTGGCTATTTTACTTTATTACGCTCTGCGTACTTGCTGAAACTCGCACTACGTTTTCAACTAGTCTCATCCAAGATGGAAATCCACGTGACCTGGACAATTTCGTTCCATGTACCTTGCGTATTCAAGAGTGTTTATTGTGGGAAGCTTTAAGCACCTTTTGACTCTGACTTTCATTAACTTCTGTGTTGACTGGCCGTTGTTCTAATTTGGCGACATTCAGATCAAAAAGAGAGTAAAGTTAAAACCTCTTCAGTTGAATTTAGCCCTTTAACACCCATAGGAAATAAACATGTTACTTCGCCGTATAATATCCATAAATTATTCAGCAAACAGGTAATGAGAATACTCAAAATTATCAGATAAAAGTTGTTATTTTGATCTAACACCAAATTATTGTACCTAATTTACAAGGAAATGTGTAGCAGCAATATGGGAAAATTGACAATCAGATCTTGCGACTTAAAGTGTCTTAAAAGATCTCAGAAATTTTTCGTGGGAGAAGCATTATAGTGAGCAATCTAAGCCTGATGCCCAGTTTTATTGAAGTTAATGAGATCCCATTACTGAGTTTTTTTTTTACATTTTACCCCTAGATGTCCTCATATAAAATCTTAACCAACTTAAACCTAGTTATCTCTCCCCATCTCTCTCGGGCATCAAAACTGACTGTTTCCATCATTATCTTTTTATCCATTCTTATTGTGCTGTAATGAAAGTGGCTACGATTTCTCTCGGTAAGTCAGTCAATTCCTTATATGTACAAAGTTAGATGCTTTCATGTTTGTCTAAAGGGCTAATTTTGTTCAATCAATTTACAATTGCTTCATGTGTTGCCATATTTGATTTAAAGAAATTCGTACGTAACTTTATTATAGAGGTTTGATGGGTATAGATAAATTATAAATTACCCTAAATTAAATACAGTGGAGTGTAAATATCCCAGATTATCAATTCCTGTGACATATGTTTGGTACGTTGGTTCGCACTGTACTGACAGTGATCAGAGTTTCCCAGATGAGATACATATTAAAAAAAGTCGTTGTTACTCTCGTAAGAGAACTTCTTTAAGGTAGACTAAAAATATTTAAATTTTTGTGTTTACAGTTGGTGGAACATAACGCGACATCTAGCAAGATCTTTACTTGGAATGACCTCATTAACTCCATTCGAAACCCTCGAGGAGCGCAGTCCGTCTGCCATCTTGGCCAATCTTCTCTACTTGATGTTCCTGGTCATGGGAGTTATTCTTCTCGTTAATATGATGATAGCTTTGCTCTCCAACACCTATCAAAAGGTCCAGGTAAAAGTCTTAATAACACTGACAGCATTTCCTGTATTTTACTGTAAGTCCTTTAAGGTGCGGGACTTTGCAGAAATGTACTTCATGTACGCCCTAACATTAGTATTCACATTCTCCGTATTGTTCTCTATACATTTCCTATGGTAGTGACAAGGACATTTTGTGTAACAATCAAGAGCTTCTTAAACTGGTGATCATTTTCTTTATTCTCATGACTTTTGTATTTTATTTAAGAATAATTCTGTAAGGAGAAATTAGAAGCAACTCTTAGGGGTTAAAGGGTTAATGCGCCTATTCTTGGGACCAATTTTTTTCCTTGCGTCAAGTTCAGAGCTGATCTCTCCTATTTTTCATCCAGAAGTTTAAGGTGACTGCGCATCTGCGTATACCTGTCCATCATATGAATATCTTTTATAATTTTTCCTAGTCCTTCTTTTGACAGAATAACGCCTTACAAGAGTGGTCCTTTAAGAAGGCAGTAACAATCAAAACCTACAGCGCACGGCATCCGGCACCAGTTCCATTTAACCTTGTCACCATGCCCCTCATCGCTGTTTTCAGAATGTGTCAAAGATGCCTATGTAAAATGAAGTCTTCCGAAATGCCTGGAGTACAAGAAGAAGGCAGGGTATGAGGAATCTTACTTACTTTGGAAATTATTCAAAATGAAATTAGAAATAGAGCCGAACGTTGTGGCGATATTCCGTAGATAAATTGAAAATGTATTTCTCGCCGTAGATTTGGTCATTCATGTTTGGGTCACTTGAGTCAAGACTACTTAAAGGGTTAAAAAAAGGTCTGTGACAGACAGAAAATGCCTGTCTGGATTGTCTAAAGAGGAGCCAAGGAATTTTGAATAAGTTTGTGGAATGAGTGCACGGGCGTGCTCTGATAGAGGAAAAGGGAAAAAGTCAAGTATCTGGAGATTCAGTACGGCGTTTTTTTTTGTTACCTTTCAAGTGAACGAAAAAACTTGGGGTTCAGGCACAAACCCAACACTGTGAATCGCTTTGATTGTCCTTTACCTAATGTAAAACCACAACTGTGACAGCAGTCAAAGTTTATTTGCTGATTGATTAAATTTAATTATCTTCTGTAAACATTGGCGGCTCGATAGATCAATAAACATGTAAGCGGATGAAAATAATCCTGTGCTTTTCTACTAAAAGAAAACTCGTGGAATTTACTGATGCGTATCTGTTATTTCAATCCGTCTAAAAGATATGCGATCACATAAACTGCATTCTGAGGTTTACGGTTCCTTGGCAGATTCAAGCGGGAGAAGACCCTTTAAACAAACACCATCGCTTTACACTGCAAATATTTATTGAGCGACTTTGAGGCGAAACGTGACGTAAGAAAGGAAATCAGTGTCAGTGGAACTTGGTGTGTGCAGGCTAATAAAGATTTGGATTGCAGCGTCGGAAAAAGAATTTATTGTTCTATATCGTTAACACTTCTCTGACGTCTCCTAAGGAGAAAGGAAAAGATTGAACCGCTTTTGATAGTTAGGAGTTATCAGACTTCTTATTTCATCACTGGAAGCAAAACTGTAAAATGACTTGGGGGCGAACCAACCCGTAGGCGAAACGACTTTTTGGCGAAACTGAACTTTAAACGAAATGACTTGGAATCGAGTCAACCCGAAGGCGAAACGATTTAAGCGAAACTGACCTATTGGCGAATTTACTTAGGGCGAACCAACCCATAGGCTGTCCCCCTCCCCCACTCCCCCCTTCTTTGTCGGCGACAGGAAAAGTCCTGCATTCTTATAGGTCAGCTTATTAAAAAACGATGGGTCAGTTTTAATCAAAGTTGTTCCTAATATTGTTTAATCCATTGCTCATTCACTGTTCTCTTGGTGGACAGGATGCTGCTTTAGATAAACTTGTGGAGAAACTACAAAGGACGTACTTTGCAACATACGGCTATTCTTTTCCGCTTACTGGTAAGAGCTGGTTCAACCTCATAGCTATTAGCGATTTCGAGCGATTAATAACTAAAATGTCAAATTTAGTCCATACAGAAGCACGCAACCTAATTTAAGGTTATATTCCTTTGGTCCATATTTCAATTGAGTGTCGAAGAAAACCATGATTGCACATGTTGGTTTCACGCAACCATACTGCGCGATTGGTTCAAAAAAATTCGCACTAGGTGCCTTTCCTGCCAATCAGATGCCAAATTTAACCAATTGTGACTTGCTTGCATACGTTCGAGGCTTGCTACTTGTGACATTTATCTTTAGCTCTCTTTGGCCAGAGTGGAATGCTGGCTTTCTAGTCGGCAAGAATTAAAAACACTTGGCTTGTTTCGTATCGTGAATTGCAAGATCACCAGATGACATTCATAAATTTAGCAACAATAATAGTAGCAAAAACAAAATCACTGAACACCTCAACAATTATCTTCCAAAACCCTTCAAGTGATCTTTACTTTTCGAATTGGCTGTATCTTTAGATGAAGGAAAGATCGATGAAGTTCTACACGAAACAGACGGAAATCGAAAGATGTGTAGTCAGATCATCCGAAGAGTGTTCGAACCATCAACCCTTGGACAGACAAACGTACCGAACGGAACAATTGTAAGTTGCAGCTTATTGAATACGGCAATAGACGGTGAATTCAGTCATTAATTTTCAAGTAAAAATTTAGTAAAAAAAATATCAGTACTTACGGCGCTGAAAATATTTTAGTGTGAGCAAACAAAACCATATCTGGTTGGAAGTAATTGGTAGTTTTGGAGAGGTACTCGTACTGTTTTGCTCAAATACACACAGACAAACAAACAAACAAAAATGAGCCAAAGTTTGAAATAGAAAGAAAAAAAACCGCACTGAAGAAGCCAAACACAGTTGTATTTACGATTTACGAGCATCTCAAAGTGCGTAAGTGCTGACTGAATTTTGCACTTATTGAGTCTTTCGTGTCTTATTACTTTGTTTAAGGAATGGGAATCGCGTGGAATTGGAATCGAAGGCTCTATGCTGACCTATGGAGGTTCTTCTTCGTGTGACATTTGTGAAATGTGGAATCATTCCTGGGCACATCATGGTGCAAGGGGCTTGGGGCCTTTTACCCCAGAAATTCCGAGATTTGAGGTAAGAGAAACAACAAAAAAGAGCATATCATTGTGTTTAACTATTCTATAATACAGTCAAAGTCTGTTTTTTCACTTAGCTCGCGTGAGTGGGGCTAGATCACAGTTTGATCATCTTAAAAAAGTTATCGTAAAAAATTTTCAACTTTCCTCATTCTTAGCCCTATCTGCTCTTTTAACTTTTTTTTTCCGCCTTTATAATTTGCCTATGCAATTACACATTGATCTGATTATCCCCCTTTCGCCCACAATTTTACCAAACGGTGAATACCGGAAAGATGTCTTGCTCATATTTCGTTTTCCCTTTTACGGAGAGCGCGCGGCATATTCGGCGACTCGAAAACGACGGAAAAACTTTGGGTTTTCTTGTCGGAAAATGTCAGAAAATGCCTGAATAAGGCCGGGTATTCAGAACTTGTTTTCCGAACGGGTGAACGCCATATTTTTTGGCGGTGAGTTTCATTCTATAGAGTTTGAGATATTGAGTTTCTTCGAACCAAAACCAGAGTATCCGCCACGGCACGGAGTAATCATCAGAGCAACGAAAATCATCACAAGGCGTCGATCAGAACTAAAAGTAAAAAACAGTCATATAAACTGGCTGAAGCGGGGGAAAACACCAATAGGCAAGTTGTGATCGGTAGTTTTGTACCTGCTTTTTGGAGAGGCTTACGCAAGTTTTGTAGTCCAACTATTAAGCGAATTAAAGCGTCACCAAATCAAATATTGGATCATTTTCCAGGCCCAATTTAACACTATTTTACAAGCAATTCTCCCTGGCTCTAAAATGATCACAAAACATCCCAAACGGGCTCCTTTAATGAAGCATCCCGCTTAAATTAACTTGAATTTTAGGTGTTAATCCAAGAGAGCGGAGAGAGACGCATTATAGCAATAGGTGCAGTGTATGAGGGCTACAACTGTCATTTCATGCCGGGGTGGAAGGAAGGGACTGTCGGTTATCACGCTGATGACGGAAGAATATTTGAACCGAGCTGCAGGCAACAGGGAAAAGAAGTTCCTGGTAGGTAATGACGCTTTTAAACTGAATATGTCAATGATTCAGTTTTTAAACTTAAAAGTAGCCTCGCAGAAAATGTCACTTTTTTTTTATCACAAGCAGGGTTTGTATACTTATCTCCATCTTAAGGTGAGTCAATCAGTTCAATATCACTTTTTTTCGCGATCTTACTGTTGTTGCTGTAGCTGAAAAATGTTCGATTAAAGGAGAAATTTTCAAAAATTGAAGTTAATCTGTCGTTTGACCCTTTCAAACATTTCTAATTAGTGAGAATTTCCTTATCCTGTCAAACCGAAAACGGCATTCCGTTTGACGGCAACCTCCACATTCGGTGAGATGACATTACTTAAAAAATCGATGAAGGCAGAAAATATGAGATACTCGTAGATGAGAATGAAATTTGTCATCACACTGAGAGTCAAAGATCGTACTGAGTCATCATTGCGTCCCATTTTTTTCGACAGACGCCATGGCCTACCGCGGTGATCTTATGGCCTGTGAAGTAAATTTTGAGGATGCTGAAAACGACTTAGTTCCTGTAACGTTTTTCAAGAACAGCACAGAGGTGGCACGTACATCATTAAAGTTCATTCCTGATCATACTAAACTGTTCCCCTTCATCGGAATGGGTTACGCTGGAATTCGTGTTCTGGCAAAGGTGCGTTAATTTTCGTTCCGTTTCTGTATGGGTGTATTGAAGGCGCAGTTCAGATTCAACCTTTGAACGCTATACGAAATTGGGGAATGTTATTGGTTTACTGATTATAGATATTCCACTTAACGTCCTCACTTTTTCATGAATAGTCGAGAAAAAGTATTACAATCGTTATCTCTATATATAATCATCGGCGAAAAATCTCGAGAAGTTTATGCGGTGAGGCCTTTTTGATAACCACCTTTATCCCCCTTGTTGCACTATGCACTGCAATGTTTTGAATTTTTGTAAAGGGTGCCCTAATTGTTTGCGCATTGCGTAATTAATAATGGTAATTGAACGTAGTGGAGTGCAATTTGGTCTGAAATCATATGTGTGAATTCAGACCAAAATTGCACGACACGAAGTTTGAATACCACTTAATTACATCCATTTTGAAAGTGCAAAATTCACTAAGATGCAGGATTTTGTCTTTGCAAATATTTTGTTGATTCAGTAGTAACCTGGCTTGTACTAAACTGTAAAAGTTGTTTTTCATTTTCCTGCAATTTGATTGGTTTCTTTAAACAAGCGATTGGTTGTTGTATTTTAATAAAGCCTCTTCCTAAGCTGGGAAAAGGATGCAGTTAGAGCAAAAACTGGTGCGATTCGTGAATAAATCGCACCAATGAGAGCCAATCATATTACAAGGATCATCAGTAATTTCAGAATGGACGTAATTAATTTATTAATTACTCAATCATAAAGCTATCGATTTGGACTATTTTATGTAGATGTGCCCGCGCCATGGTCAACAGGCCCACCGCCCTGCAGATGCTATAAACATACCGAAGGACACGGATGTACAAGAGAAACTTAACATCCTGAGAGAAGAGATGAAAGGCATGGAAATGATCAGGAAACAGGAGGTCAAAGAATTGGAGAGCAAACTCCTCTATGAGATCCGACAGCTGACACGTGCAATCAGAGAGAAGAATATTTGATCGAGAAGTCATCATTGTAAATGATTTCAAATTTTAAATAATGCTGCATAGCAAAGGTTACTATGAATTTAGAAAGATGAATTATAGAGGACTACAACGCTGTGTTGAAATAATCCTAGGCACTACAGTTTTAAGACAGTTTTTAAACAGATTGGGCAAGCACTGCAGTGATTGATGGCGGTAGCCTTACTCAGAGACTTAGCATGTTTCAAAAATCACTCTCTCTCATTATTCACAGTGTTACAAGTCATGTACTGACCGCATCCTAAGGAACCAAGATACCAAACAAAAGCTTTAGTGAGGACAAATGTAGGCCTAAGACGTTTATAGGCGAGAACTGGTTATTTATTCAATGATGTTGACTATGATATAGGGAACATATATATATATAGATCTTATATGGCGAATACTTATTGTAGTATGATGCTTCAGCGCATAATGTGTAGTTGGCGTAGTTTGGTGTAAAAAATTTGAGCGCTATGAAGCCGGCGAAACAACATCTCGAGGTTTTTGCTTTCAGTGGTCTAGGTCAAACAACCTGTGTATGATTTGGATAGATCAGTTCCCTCCCCTCTCAGTGGTTTTAGCGCCACGGAGTTCCACATTGAATAATTTAGAATCGGGTTGGTTCTTATCACACCGAGCGTATTTATTGCTTTGATATAGCTGATAACAACCCGAGGTGCTTGTAACAGGAAGTCGGACAATTCCAATTAAACAGTTCGGTAGCGAATGATATTTTAGCCGGATCTGTTTATAGCCAATTGGTCTTTACAAATGCTACGCAATCAAACGACTACCAAGTAATCGACTGGGGAGTTTTTTTTTCCTCTCTCGTGTGTCATACAATAAGTGATAACCGAGTTCGCAATCTCAACTTATCAGGTTAGCGTTACACGCTTAGCTAAACTCAATATAAGTGACTCATTACCTCCCTAAATTTTACTCCTCTAACCCCGATATAATGACATTTCTAATCATTCGTATTACTTTAATTCGAATATTCAGTTGTTAAGAATTATTTTCGTTGAAATCTATCTTCGCAGAGAGAGTCGTTGAAAAATGATACGCTTATAGCTATTGTTCGCTGATTTGCGGGTGAGAAGGCCCCATGCACTACCTAAACATTTGCATTTCCATCCCTTGGAGGTCCACTTATCTTGTGCAGATACCCCTGACCACCAATCATAATCACGGTTACGCACCTGTTTTTACTAAAACAAATCACAGTTAATCTGTAGTAAGTTTCCAGGAGCTCTATTCAGCTGTCACTCATGGATTAAGAGCACATCAAATCATAAGTTTTCTTAGGCATGAGACCAAAAAAAAAAGAAAACCGTAATTTATCTCTATCGCGTGACCGTTCTTATCCACAAAAAAATGAGGTTTGCACTGTTCTCGTGCCGTCAAATTGTGACTCACAAAACCCCTTGATGTCAGTTTTTTTTGGATCATTTCTTTTTAAAGTTGAATAGCAATCTAGAAAGTCAAGGTTAACTTTTACTCTCAACTTGGTTCGGAACTGAACTATTTCGTCAGGAATAGATAAACAATATCTCTTATCAACTAATTGACGAGCTTACTTACGACGGAAACAGACAACAAGACTCAGTTCACTCTGGTTTGGGAGTGAGCTAGGAATAGATAATATCTCTTAATGCCCAATTTTGATAGCCTACTTTGATATGCTCCAACACCGACGGTACACGCAGTGGGATATTCACAAGCTTCCTTCGTAGCTAATTATTCATGTAATATCATCGCATATCTCCCTTAGCACAGAGGAAATACCAAGTTGGAAGTTTTCGTGTTAAAGGTGCTCAGGGCCAAACGCTTCTGTTCCCTCATGCATGATCATGTCAGGGTTAAGGAATTTTGGAGTCTGACAGAAGGGAAGTCAGATTTATAAATTCAAGTAAACCTTTGCCTTCGTGACGTACATTGCCCCAATTAGACTCCACTGTTTAAGATCAACGAGACGTTAACAAACAGAATAGCTTAAATCAAAACAAAAGTAAACACTTAGTTTGCAATTTTGATTTCTAGAAAATTTACCCATAGGCAAGATTCTTTTGCAAAATAGACCGGCACAGAAAATAATTCGCGTCGTGTGTCGTTTATTGCTGAGTGGTTTTCGTGAAGTCAAAAGAACTTTATTTAACATTCAAATCTCTGGGTGATTCGCGTGCACCTTTGAAAGGTTACACAACCCAGACTATTTAACATGTAAATTGGATAAGAAACAAAAACACTAAGAGTTGTCTGACAGATGTTTCTGCTGCGATGCAGTTCAATTGAATCTTGCATGCACACAGCTAGCTACAGAAGGATTAATTTTCATTCAATAGCATGGAGGATGAAGTCAATCGCGACAGCACAGAAAAAATTGCTGAAGGCGGCGTCTTTATCAGAGGCATCAGGCCTCTTCAAATTCAACGGCGAAACGCTCGAATAGTAGTGGGCTTTGTCCTCGTTGCTGTGGTGTTTTTCCTAATTGGTATCTTAATTGGATACTTTGTCACGAAGCCACCAAATAGTGAAAGTTGTTCTAGAAAAGATGCAGACAGTGAGCCTGAGACAAGTGACTTCCAAAAGTTCCACGATTTGTTTAAACAAACGATTAGCACCGAGAAGTTGGAATCTCTGATGAGGTATGAAAAACTGATGATAATTGATCATGCAAATACTTAATGCGAGTCTTCTCACAACGTCAAAGGAGTGAGATGTTATGATTTTGAGCGCCCAGAACATTTATCGTGAATTTTTAAGGCTTGTCATTCCCGATCCGTGTCAATATTTTGCATCGCTAACCATCATAGCTACTTCTTGCTACATTTTTGCCTCGTGTGGAGCTTTTTCATCTGAACAAACTAATATTTCATGATTTCCCTCACAACTGCTGGGGATGACGCGTGCGTTTTTCCTGAACCGAAAACACGTTTTGGATAACGAGTCAAAATCTATAACCCTTTAATGCCTTAACATTCAATTGTAACATCTAGCGGTGCCAAAATAAGTTATAAATGTCTTCAAGTCCTGCGTCAGTTATTTGCGATGGAATATGTGTTTCATTTGCATTGAAGCGATAAACTAATTTGTTTTTCAAGTTGACAGCCAGGCAATGACGTCACTAAGTTAAAGTTCACTCTGTCAAATTTTGTTACGTGTAACATTCTTTTAAGTGTGCGTGTCACGTGACTGCCAGAAACCATCAAAGGCGCGACAGTGAAGAAACGAAGAGGAAGGAGACAATTTGCGTGGCGTAAAATCATTCGAATTGAATTTTGATATCAGGGCAAACGACAAGTAGATATGAAGGCAGCAAAATGAAGACTTTAAAGTTTTTAAGAGTTTTTCCATGAGGGAACTAGGCAGTCGTGCTGCATGCCATTCCACTTATTTCGATGAAACTTTGCCTAAAACTCTCCTAAACTTCTACCTTAATTAAAAATCAAAATGATAAACTGGGTTCTGTTTGAGTCATTTCCGGGGGGGATATAGACCACCCCCTGGTTTTATTGGGTTTTCTTCACTAATTCAGCTTCAAAATAGACAAAACGTATGAAGCTCTGTTCGTGATTGTATTTAACCTTTCGCTACGAAAGTTCACACACATATCGGTACATCACTGATGAACGCAAGAAACAAGTATCAGTCAGTTTGATTGACAGCCTGTCGATCAGATCGAGCAAGTAAGTGAATGCGTTTTAAGACATTCAAATATTTGATAATTTGAGGTCAAATATCTCACTTTACCAAAAGCTACAACACTAATTTTGGTGTCCATTTGTCATCTATCATTTAGTCTCTGAAAAATTTTTTAAACGTTTTGGGCTTTTTTCGGCCTTAGAGACCAGTTGAAAATTGCATCTGTGACAAGCTCCTTCCAACTCCACCTGTCATACAATTATGGTTGCAAGCGGTGATTAGCTTCTGTAGGAATTCCCGAGTCTAAAAATGCAAACCGTTCGTTTTTAGCTCATTCATGCTGATTGCAATGAATGAGGTATCGCGTTGGAGCAGATGTTGACGGAAGTTGTCGACCGTGGACGGAGGTTGTATTCCGTGGACGGAAGTTGCATTGTGGACCGTGAACTGAAGTAGCCTCGCGTGCTACCCCTCCCCACTTAATGAAAGTCAAAATGAATTTCGATGAAGTTCAGAAACTCGCGTGGAAAGAAATAAAATGTTTATATGGTTAAAAAAAATAATAACCTAAAATCACAATTCCGAACTTCTGAAAATGCAACTTGAATCGAGAAGCCGAATGTTCACACCTAATGGACCCGTAGTGGGTTCATTTCAACACACACTGTGACCACGCGACAGAGCATCAAAGGTCGCCATATTGGTAAGCCGCGCATTTGCGTTCGTCTTCAGTAAGTATAAATTAACCATTGCCCTATCATTGTACTTTACCTTGTGAGCTCTTCAATATACAGTCCACATATCAATCATAGCGGCCAAGATAGTCTCAATAGAATTTTTTCGCGAGCTCCAGTATTTCGGTCCGGACTTGAGGCTCGTTCAAACAAAAACAGCAATACCAGTCCGGTCAGTACAAAATGCAGACTGCAGACTGCAGCCGGGTACAAAATGCAGACTGCAGACTGGGTAAAAAATGCAGACTGAGAATTTATACTGTTTTTTCGTCTGATAAGTGATAACATGTCAACTTACCGAGAGTCACGCAATCGCTCTTCCGCGATCATCTTTCGCGATTATTTGCACTATCGTGGAATATTCCTTGCCCGTTTCTTGATCACAATCGTCCTTAATATGGCTTCAAGCCTTCATATAGTCTTCTTATTTTGCGCGCGAGTTGGTTGGTGAGATGCCAGCACAGAATCTACTAACTTAATAAAAGTAGATGTAGATGGAGATGTAAAGGAGATGTCACTATTAAATATTTATCACGTGCAAACAATTAACAGCTTTGCACGTGGTCCGAACGTTTCATCGTTTTAACCGATATGAGTTCATTTTTTTGACAAAAATGCGGACCGAGACCAAAACTGTTCCTTCGACTTGATATATTTTCAACTTTCAGGGGTGTACACACACTGATTATTTTTCCATATGTGCCTTATATTGTTATTGGCTTAGTACATGAGGAACCAGCGAATTTTTATATGGAAAAGCGAAGAGTTGCTTTCGTGACTGGCCATTTGTTTGTTTTTCTAGCGTATTAATCTCTCATGTGTTTGGTGACTACGCAAACACACACACCAACAAAAAGGACACTGTCTGCCTCTGATGACCTCTGCCTAATGACCTCTGCCCATCCTACCGCCAGACCACACAGCCTTTTTTCCAATTCTCATCACGACTAACGCACAAGTTTTCATTATTACACAACTGCCCAAAAATAAGAGAGAATTTATCTAAAAGTCTTGAAAGTTCGCATAAACTGAATTCAACAGTGCATATATTCAACAAGTCCAAGAAACAAACTTAAGCCATAACATGAATGAGCTGGCTCCAAGAGCCCTTTGATTATCTTCCAGTCGCCAAATTTGCATTGTCTTCCCCAGGCGTTTCGGGAACTGGGGATGAGAATCGCAAGCCTCCCCTATTTGGTGAAAACCCAATAGAACCAGGGGGCGGTCTATTCCCCCGGAAATAACCTTAACTAAAATTAGTTCATATTTTTAAGTTTAGAATAAACCCTCTAAACTGGCAAAGTTTCATTGAAATTGGAGAGGTGATATGCAGCTCGTCTGCCTGGTGCTTCCATAGACACTCCTTTTCCCTATTCAGCCTCTTGTTGTTTGCGAGAATTTTAAAATTGTTATGGCGTTTTTTTTTTGTTTTTTTTTTTCAAGTTTCACTTATTCTGAAACGTTATCAAGCAAAATTTCCATTAGAAAAGATAATGCAGTCACACACGCTATGCAGATGCACATGCATGTATGTTACAGCAAGGGAGATTAAAAGTGCGAGAAAAAGTAGTTCTAACTATATCAATAATAATAGTGATATATATGATAATCGTAATAAAACCAGTCATAAGACAGCGTCATTGACAATGACTGTGATGATGATAATTTTGAGGTTTGATCAAAGTTTCCTGACTTAACTCTTCATTACAGGGACTTTTCAACACAGCCTCACATCGCTGGATCTCCGAGACAGCTGAAGCTTGCAAATACTCTTGCCACGAATTGGAAATCCTATGGTTTCGACAAAGTAGAAAAACCTGAATATAATGTTCTCCTGTCTTTTCCACAACCAAACAAACCGAACAAGGTCACCATAGTAGAAAACGGTACAACAATCTATGAAATAGCAGGACAAATTAAGGTAGATTCATTTCTTCCATTTTTCTTTAGATATTTCCTATTAATTTAATGCACTTTTTTGACATGATAAAAGAAGAATTTCAATTTTCTAACCCTAAGCAGTGCGCCTCCATTTTTCGTGAATTGAATAATCATTGCTACTGTTCTGGCTTTCAATGTCTAGCAGTTATTGTGGCTCGGTTCCATTGTGTTCTACAACGAAATATCTTGTTTTCTGTGCACTTCATTAACCCTCTACATCCTAACATCAGCATGCAGTTTCTCCATACTGTTCTCTATACGTTTCCTAAGGTGTTAACAAGGAAATGTTGTTTGATAATCAAGAGCTATTTTAGTTGGTTATGATTTCCGTTATTCCGGTGGTCTCAATACGTCATTCAAAAGGACTATTGTGGGGACAAATTAGGTGTTAGTTACTCTTAGGGGTTTAAGGGTTAACTCATTAAATTGTCTTTAATTCATTCATTCTGGTAGAATTAAGTTCTTAATAGATGGTAACACGCCTTTTTTCTGGACATTTTGGCTGAGCAATATTTGTCTGCCAGTATCTGTGCTGGACTACTGCGACTTAGTGAATCTTCAACTCTTTATGCTTTGGAGAGGTAATCAAAAATTCTTCACTTTAGTAAAATATGTTGCCTTAATACTTTCTAGATATCCCCTGATCCAACCAGCTCTGAGACATTCGATCATTATCCATACCTTGCATATGCACACAGTGGCACTGTTGAAGGTGATCTGGTCTACGTGAACTATGGAAGTGATACAGACTATGAAAAGCTTTCTGAAATGAATATCCCTGTGCGTGGTAAAATTGTCATTATGCGATCCAGAAGTGTAAGTATTTCAGAAACTCCTTTGACCTAACTTTGCCCTTACTCGCTTCAGTATGCTTGTACATGAAAATTGCATAATTTTTCGCAACGATTGGTCTTTTTATACTTTTGGGAAATATCCTCGATAAGGCTAACTTGACGATTCTCTTTTTGATCATACCAAACAAGGAATTTATATCCGTAGTTCGCAACTTTCGGGGCTATTTTTTCGCAGGAAAGTACTTTCAAGGTTTGATGCGAACTGAGAATTTTAATCCAAGAAAGTAATCAGTTAGTAAAGAATTTGTTTTCCTGACCTGCTGGCAAGTGAAACTTTTAGTTACTGCGGTGAAGTTGGTTCATAAACCACCAAAGATAGAGATTTGAAAAGCAGATTGTTCCAGTGCTAGCTCCTCGCTGGGGCAAATTCAAATGAATAACTTCGGAAATGTACGTCAATTTTTTAAAATTTAACTTAGCTGGTTCTTTCGCTGTTATCGAATTCAATTTTTGAAAAGTTAAATTTTTATTCCTTTTTTCCGAAGGATTGCTGTTTATCGTTTGTGACTCAACGGTAGTCCGATATTATTAAGGCAAGGAACATACACGTTTGCATTCTTCAGGTTTCCAATGCTGAAAAACACGGGGCAATAGGAGCGCTGGTATTCCCAGACCCAAGCTTCTCTGCTCAGCAAGGATACGCTCAAGATCAAGTGTACCCTAGTGGATGGTGGCTACCATCAAGCGGGGTGCAAGAGGGTACGATACTTTTTGGCCCCTACAATGGAGACCCCCAAACTCCGGTCCTTCCGTCTATCAAAGGTATACATCGCAAACCTGTTAACGAGAGCGAACTACCAAAAATTCCAGCTCAGACGATATCATATGGAGATGCCATGGAGCTGCTACGAAGATTAGGAGGTAAAGTAGATTTGTTTTGTCAAGCCACCGGTCAACTTGTCGTTTGCATTTTTCGGAAGTCATCGAAACCTTTCCGGAATCAGTGCACTGCCTAAAGAGAAGTGTCGCGCGCTGGGATGAGCACACGTTGCTTTAAAAATTGATTACATTACATGAATGAGAATAAGAGACGATCATTACTCCATAACTTGGAGTGGAAGTATCTTAAGAGTGACGTTATATTGATTTCCACGTGTCGCACCCGTAATGTTCTCTTTACTAAACGTTATTCACAATTTCGTAGGATCAGAAGCTCCCGAGTCGTGGCAAGGTGGTTTAAACATCACATACCGCACTGGCCCAGGTTTTAATAGCAGCAATGCAAAACTCAGGTTAGAGGTCAACAACAAACCGGAAAACAAGTCAATCTACAACGTGATAGGTACGATATTCGGAAAGGAGGAGCCTGATCGATACGTCATCGTCGGTAACCATCGGGATTCGTGGTCCTTTGGCGCCGTCGATGCCTTAAGCGGAACCACGGTAACGAATGAAGTAGCTCGTGTATTAGGAACACTTTTGAAAAAAGGATGGAGACCGCGACGAACCATCAAGATCTGTAGTTGGGGCGGGGAGGAGTTTAACTTGATTGGATCACAGGAGTGGGTGGAGGAAAATGCTAACATTCTTACTGAGCGTGCTGTAGCATATATCAATTTAGATATTGCCGTTTGCGGGGATTACGTTTTACGAGCAAGGGCGACACCTTTGTTTAAGCAGATAATTCACAAATGGGCTAAGGAGGTCAAGGATCCCAGTAATACCAAAGGCACAAACACGATATACGACATCTGGCTGAAAAGGACTCCTTCAGATACTAATAGCAACCAGCCCATGATTTTTAACCTTTTTTCCGCAAGTGATTACGTACCCTTTTACCAGTACATAGGTGTACCGTGTGGAGATTTTGGTTATTGGTTCGGGTACCCTAACAAGACATCTCTATATCCTGTGTATCACACACAACAAGACACATTTTACTGGATGAAAAAGTTCGTTGATCAAAAATTTGAAATTCATGGAGCCATGACACAGTTTGGAGGAGGAATGACACTGGATTTCGCAGACCAACCTTTGCTGCCATTCGACGTTCAAAATTACGCGCTCGCCTTAAACTTTTCATTCCATGTTGTCGCTTCGTCCCTAGACCTCTCGGCCAACGGCATTACTCTTACTGCACTTCGAGACGCTGTATCCGGGTTCATGGACGCCAGTCGGCAATTCGAGGCTAGAAAATCTGACCTTGCGATGCTTCAAAAGACCTCCGAGTTGCGAGTGATGAATGATCAAATGGTGAAAGTGGAGAAGGCCTTCATTTACCCTTACGGCCTGCCTGGTAGAGCTCAAGACCGTCATGTCGCCTTTAATTTTGGTTTCCACAACATCCGCCCATCAAAAGCGACATTTCCCGGTATCACAGAGGCCTTGCATATGGCTAAGAAAAAGGGAGACTGGGATCTAGTTAAGCAACAAGTGTCAATAGCAACCTACTGTGTTCAAAGCGCCACAAAGGTTCTGGAACCTTTAGCAGGTCAATAAAGGCGCTAAACATCCCGGAAAAAAAAACATATTTTCTTTTCATCTGACTACTTTTGATCAGCTATCATGACTCATTTTCCTAAATATCCTCGTTTGCGCTTGTGTCAATAAGAACACAAAAGATACGTTTACACACAAATTACGTTTTACGAAATGGTTGACTTCTACTTTAGTTTTCAAGACTCGTTCAGACCTATTGAACGTCGTAAATTCATATTGATATATTAAGAGGACTGTTCATTGTATCATTGTAAGAGAATGTCAAAAAATTAAACCATTTCAAAGAAGGACAATAATCTAACAACAAGGCGATTTGCACTCAATTTTAATATTTTTTACACCACATTTAGAATATGTTTGGGAATTGTTGCTGTAGTGGCTCGGCTTTCTTATCAAATTACTACATGAAAATATCGACACCTTTCGGTATATGTTACAAAAACCTAAGTTTGGTTTAAATCAGGAACCCACTCGCTAATTTTTAATTGTTGCTGTAGTAGCTCGGCTTTCTTATCAAATTACTACAAGAAAGTATCGACACCTTTCGGTATATGTTACAAAAACCTAAGTTTGGTTTAAATCAGGAACCTACTCGCTAATTTTTTAAACGTTATCTACGTTTTAGAATTGACCTATGAGGCATTCAGTTTAAAGCTTACTTGTGAAAGTTTATACAGCTCTACAACTTTTACAAAAAGTGTCTAATTAGGGCCAGAAAATTGTTAGGCCGACATTAACCATCGTAAGCAGACACACTTAACTTGAATAGAAATCAGACTCTGGAGTACAAGAGGATGAAGCCCGTTGGCGAGAGACATATCGTAGTGTACACGAATTGACATGCAAACCGACTAAAACCCTTTGCATGAAAATGAAAGAGTTTCATGGGAATAGTTTCGCAAGGTTTTTTTGCACCTTCTCCCTCCCCTCCCCCATCATCCCTTTACCTAGCATTAATTTACACGTAGACGGCTCTTAATGCAAAGTTTCCTCTGGGCTGCACCCTTCGAGTTGGGACAAAATCACTCAAGAGTAAAACTTCAACAGCTACACGCGCGCAAAACTTAACAAGTCAGTTATGAAGTAGAGGACGCCAACATGAAATATCACACGAAGTACTACTTGTCGATAAAGTTCTGAAATCGTTTTGCTTGGAAGTTGGAAAGGAGACCAATACGCAAAGTCCATGGAAGCTCATTTTACATTCTGTACACCTGTTACTGCTGAATGAAAGAAGCAACCAGTGACAAAAGCGAAACAGTTTGGTGATTTACACAAAAAAAGCTGAGCGGTCGTAGGTAACGTGACTGACTAAGAATTTCCCTTGTCCATGGAAGGGATGTGTCACGTAAGAATAAAAAGCACATGTACTTTTAGAGGCAACATTGATAAGAAATCTGCTTCGTTCATCGAAGTGTAACTAAGTGTACATTTACCAAAGAATTAGTTTCGGAACTATTATCAACTGAAGGAGAGGTTAGTAGAAGGGTCCACTTCTTCCATCCACATCCTGACTGGGTCTGTACTTGTACCTTGGAGGGTTTTTCCAGGATTCAATCTGTTCATTAATCTGTCCGATGAATAGGTGGGTCATGACAATTCCAGCAACCTGTCACACACGAGAAGAAAAATGTAATCTGTTGAGAGCACTGTGTAGATTCATAAAAAAATCCAAGCATAATCTATGTACGAAACATAACAAAATATACATATAACGCATTCAAATTTCAAAACTTTGATGTCCCTGAATTTTGTAGAAGAGGAGCCTGGATGCTAAAATGTGTCTCAGTTCTTTTCCCTTTTCCATGGATTTTGCAGACGCGAGTCATCAACATCTCACAATTTTTAAAACTTATCTCGCAGAGAGAGGATGAGAATAAGACAAAACCAAGCAGTTTGGTGGTCAGACATGGTTTGATGCTACTCTGGGTTAAAGATTTAATGAATTTAACATTGGTAGTGTTATCTTCTTTACACAGCACACACATTATCTTCATTATTGGACTAGGATAAATACAGAGGGTGCGAAGAGAGTTACTAATTAGACCCTGGGAGGTAAAGATTTATAACTTGTATTCATAAATTAACTCTGCGTGACTAAGCATTATTGAGATTAGCACCAAAACTTGAGATTTTTACCTCAGGGACGGCAAAAGCCACAGCAACTGCAGCAACAATCACAAGATGATTCCTGAACCATTCCCACACTGCATCCAGGCAACCAGTTATGTGGATTTTATTTTTTAAAGCCAAACGCTAAACAAAAAGGGTGGTAAATTTAGAGACCGTGATTACATTCAACATAAAAATTCCTAGACTCAAACAATGTCCATTACTGGAATTTTATTTTTTGGCAGTTAACAATTTGCTGGAAAAATCATTTATGAAAACAAAGAAGACACTAAATAAGTTTGATGGCTATTGTTTTCTTCTTTTCAGTATGACCCACCAACAGAACATGTGCTTTTTGCATTTCTATGCTAAGGGAATATGTGTACATGCTAGAAACGCAGGTTAATAGTCTCCCTCCCTCTCTCTCTCTCTCTCTGGGCTAAGATTTCTATACCTGATATGCACAGTCCCATTGTTGTAAGACCCCACCCCCAAAAAGGTCTATAACACACTTACACTACACAACGAACAAGAGGAACATGTGGGAGGGGTGAAAGTGTCCTCCCTGTGAATTGTGGCAAAAGGCAATACTTACATGCTGCTTTCTAACATGCCAGCCACATTGAATGTTTGGTTTCTGAAAATTGAACAAAACAGGAAACATTTGTTATTTCACATACAGCACAAGTTACATGTACATATCACCAGTCAAATATTGCATGTACCAGTACTTAAAACAATCAGTCAAAGCTAAATGGGTAATCCTTAATGACTTCAAGGATCAAGACCCATTTTGACTTTTGAGTTTTCTAAAGGAGTTTGAAAAGTTATTAAGAACTTCAACTAAATTTCTGAGTGACAATGTAAGAAACGAAAGTATTTTCTTGCCATTTAGTTTTTTTCACATCTAGAAGCTTCTAACATTTTATCCATTGCAATGGGTGGAAAACATTACAGCATACAGTACATTATTTCATTTTGTGCTCAATATGCTTGTTAGTTATTGTGGCATGAAAGTTTTCCATTAACTCTTTTCTTATCACAAATGGTTTCCTGAAAACACTAATGATAGCCCATGAAAAATTATTTAAAAAAAAAAAAAGGCATGTCCTTCTCTATTGCCTTGGATCTGTACAGTGTACATGGACAATGTATATTGTTCTATGTATATTGTCCAAAGTTCATAGGGTGGAAGAGCAACACTGCATAGCCATTGTGCTTGTTTTTATTTCATTAATTTGTAGAGACATTTCCTGTATGAAACTTACACTGTTTTCAGTTTTTTGTATTTGTCTTTCATTGATTTTACTCTGGAATAAGAAGGATTGCTGAAACACAATTTTGCATGATTACTTTTGGACTTTGCCATACCTGGTCTTCTGGACGCACACAGCAAGTATGAGGAACACCACACTCCTCAGGAGAAGGCCCACCACATCTGAAGTAGCGATTGGTGTTCCAGTCATTAAGATCTGTGCTTCCACAACACTTGAACTGTCAAATTAAAATAGCCAAATCATACTGTATTACACATACATTCTAAGACATATTCTTATATGAACAATACATTTTGGAGTGTTTTATTGCCAAGTATTTTTATGAGTTAATTATGCTGTATTTTAACAAGCCTGTAGCGCAAGTCAAAATACAAACAACCAGTAAAAATACAAGGCAATACTACACACCAAAATGTCTAATACGTTTTTCATTCTCTAACTGCTCAATTTTCTGCTAATTTCTCATAAGGCAGGAAAAGCAAGGCAGATAGAGAAGTGTACTGCATGCAGCCAATCAGTAGAACAGGTTTTTTTTTACGGTTCAAAATAACCAACTGTTCAATGTTGCAGGATATTTGCACTCTATTTGCAAATTATTTGCAAATTATTTGTACTCTAATTTGTGCAGTTGGTAATGAAACACTGTAGTAATACTTATCATAAACACAAACAATAATGCTAAAAATAAATTATGGCAGTATATATCTCTATAGTACCAACTTCTATGTGAATTGTTATATTCAGCTGCCATTTACAATAGTTATTACTAATATGAAATAAAGAGTAAAGGTTTACATTATATTGATACTAAAAACCATTCTATTACAACCAAGCACAAGTACTTTGAATAAAGGCAAAATAGAAGCCAATTTCTACACCTTATTACAACACATACCCCTCAAAGTAACAGTGGATCAAGGGCTAGCTTTTTACTAATCACAAAGAACATGTACAGCTGAATGAACTGATCAAAGCTATAATAACATTCATTCTCAAGGTTATTACTGAGTGGAAGAAAGACCCCATGTATTTTGTCAATGTGCAGTGCAGTTTCATTCATGTATTGCACCCAAGAGGCCAAAAATTTACAGACATAAGTGAAGAAGAGTAGAATGTACTTACACCCTCTTGGACAGCATCAATTGCATTCTGAAGGTCAGGATCATCTCTGTACTTCTCAATTGCTTTCTTAAATTGATTGTCCACAGATTTCTGAACCTGTTGTTTCAGGTATCAACATTAGTATTACAGTTTGTATTCATTGTTCATGTCAGCAATCTAATGCACATCATAGCAGTGTTCTCCCTTATTTCAAATACCACAGGTAAGAGAAATTTTCAAACCCTGACTAGAGAAATCCTTCTTCTTCTTAAGAATTCCAGGCAATTTTAGGTGGTAATAAGAGGTGCAATATGTAGTAAATTTTACTGATTAGCATCTCAAAGGAGAAGATTGAATGATGTAAATACCTATACATGTACTCGTTAAAAAAGGGATTAATTTCCCATATTCTTAAACCTTTAAGCCCTGATATCAACATGTATATTCTAATCACCATTCTCCATATGTTTTTCATTTTACTGATTGAGAGAATTTGTTCAAAGATCAAGACATTTCATCTTTGGTAAATTCACTTCACTCATTCTCGCAATCTGAAATTAGATGCTGGTCACTATTGGGGCTTAAAGGGTCAATATACAAAAATGGACACAGGTTGCACTTATATTGGTAAGTATATATTTACATGGTGCAATAAAAATTCCATGAAATGCATTCCGCATGACATGGTCTGCTCTCAACAGGCTGGTCAACATGGTGAGCTTAAAAAGGATATAGATTGTAAGACAGGATTTCACTGAGTTACACTCTTTTTTTTCTCAAAGAGAACTAAAAATGAGGATTTTTTTTCCAAAAATATTAATTCAAGAGAAACCATGTTGATTTGATATCAATAAAACTGGAAAGGAATCAAGTCATTTGCATGGGGGGAAGAGAAAATGTAGCGTTTGCACTTTAAGTGATCTTTATCTAGAATAAAATGAACAAAAAAACTGCATGAACTGGGTATAAATATGATAATTTAATGTATGATCAGTGATGAGCTTTCAAAGGTTTTCAAATGACACTTGTCTGCCGCTCACATAGTGATGAAAACTTTATAAACATCACTTGCACCAAAAACTCATGAAATACACTCACATTGAAGCAAACCCCCAAAAATCAATAAATTACAATTACCTCTGGCCAAAATGCAAAAGCAAGCAGTCCTGCTATCACTTCCAAAACGACAATGATTATCATGACAATCATGTACTAAAAAAGGACAAAAGGAAAAAATCAAAGTTAACAGTGGCACATGTCTATGAAAAAGTGAATCCTATCACCTCTATGATAAGTAATCACCACTGTGGTGTACAAGTACATAACGTAGAGGAGGCCAGAAAAAAATGAAAATGTTCATGGAAACCTACACCATTAACTTGCATGCAAATGTACCCACCATCTTAATACAAAAGTTCATTTGTTAACTGTCCATGCACATGTGCAAGGTCATGTTTAGCTGTTATATGAATGACACCGAGTCCAAATGGGATGGTAGTACAAAAGCTACAGATGTAGTGTACAGTGCAGCCCAAAGATACATTTTAAGGGGACCAAAATACATGTAGTACATGTTTAGTACTTTAATCATATCTTCCAAGTACATGAAGATAAAAAAAATTTTAGTGCTATGATATACTGTACTATAAGGAATGTAGACTACTGTCAATGTGTGAACCTAAAATGCAACATAAAATGAGCTCACAGTTCTGAGAAAGCAGATGTTCTCCCTTAGAGCACCAACTGTGCCAAAGAAGGAAATGAAGAAGATGAAAAAACCAACAGCTATCATGACAGCGGCTGGATCTGTCGAAATGCTGGAGAATTCTTTGTAATCACTCTTTTGTGTCACTGCCCAGAAGCCAACACCCATCATGACACCACCAATACCCTACAAATAACAGCAAAGAAATAAAGCAATTAACCCTTTACACCCTAACATCAGCATACATGTTATTCTCCATATTGTTTCTTATACATTTTCTTAAGTGCTGACAAGGAGAATTTCATAATCAATGGTGAGCTTCTTTGGTTGGTGATCTTTCTTTTATTCTATTGATCTTAATGTGCGATTTAAGGGTGATATGGTAAGGTAAAAATTAGATATTTGTTGCTCTTGCAGGGCGTGAAATTGCACCTAGTATCAGGTGCCAATGCAACTAAATTTTTCATTTTGGCGACCAAATCCTCAAAATTAGTCGCCAAATTGGCAACTAGAATGCTTCATGATAACCACACCTAGAGATATAGTGAATTACAAAGATTTGCAAAGATAAATCCATGGCAAACTTCCTCATTAAATTTGTTTCCAAAACACGGCACATGCATCTCGATCGATGACTAGATGCCATCTTGGATTTAGTTATAAGCTTTAATGTTGTATATCATCAATCCTAGTGTCCACTTTGTAGAACTTTGTAGAACTTAATTTTGGAAGGTCTATCTAGAACGCTGACAGCATAAAAAAAAGGGTTTTGTTTATCTTTAAAAATGGCGACCAACTATTTTTGAATTGGCTACCACTTTGAAAAATTTAGGAGCCAAGAGGCTATCAGAAAAAAAAATCAATTTCATACCCTGTCTTGGAGGTCAAAGTGTCAGAATCTGAGAAACTAAATTGAAGATCAAAAACTTTACAATTGTTTTTAAAGAAAGTACTTTGCTTTGTTGCTGGGGAAGTAAAGTACAGTGTACATGTAATTATTGACATATTTTGTCTTACTGAATGTGAGGGATTTACAACTCTTTTAGTGTTTTCCTTACACCCCAAGTGGGTCATTACACCAGTAAACCACTAGAAAGTGCACTGCCACTCTATTTCTCTTAAAAAGTAGAGGCACAGTGGTCTACTGGTCAGTGCACTGGACTTCAGGTTGAGTGGCCTTGGTTCAAGACTTGGCTAGGACAACCTGTTGTGTTCTTGAGCAAGATGCTTTACTTTCACAGTGCTTCTCTTAAGGGCACAATTAATTTGGAGCCTTGCTCTTTTGTGTGTCCTGCACCTTCATGGTAAAAGCAATTAAAAATAATAATATTAAATAAACTTCAATTTCTATGGGTTTACCAGTGCAATAATTGACGGGTTTTGACCAATCAGAGTGCTTGTAGCATCTCTGTTATTTTATTAAAAAGTGTTAGTGAGGTAAATGTAGACTGAACACAACCAATAAAGCATTCTGTAAAAAAAAATTTGTATGCATAAAATGTGGAAACCCATCAAGTGAAAACATATACACTGCACGATATACTAAACATCTCTGCTGACTCGAATGAAAGGTTTACTTGAATTTAAAATAAGTCATGACCTCAGCGCCGTGCAATATCATCAACATATTCATTTGCATGAGCACCAATGTTGTTTGAACAACAATTACATCTAGAACTTGCTGGAATCTTTCACATCAGTGGATTATCGCATCATCTGATAGAATACCTACACGTTACATCAAAAGGCGCGTGTCTCATTCCTAGATAGATCCTACTCAGAAGCAAAATGTAGTGTACTCGATTTGTAGTTTAAAAAGAAAACCGCAGCACTCCATATCACGAATTCAGCCATCCTTGCATGCACTCAAATGGTTCGAGAGAAAGTTAAATCAACTCTCAAAACAAAAGGCCTGAGCTCCAAGAAACCTAAATGGATGAAGAAACTTAACCAGTAGCTTTCGGCAGAAGTATACATACTTCTGTTGTTGACGTTAATCACCTCTCACAAAATGTTGCATTCCCGTTCCGATCTGAGGTACAAGTGGTGGTGGGACATTTATAGGTACGAATTCAACTTAAATAGTTATCTATTTGACGTCTAGGCATAAGCCAAGCCCGACTAGAGGTCTTATAACACTCGAATTAACTATCTTAAAACATATCAGTCGCTTTAAGGACCAGAAATCACTACCGACAAGCTGTCAACATATGGTCGATAAAGGAAAAACGCATGGAATACTAGATCGATACTAGATATGTCGCTACAAGAATACAATATGCCGCAAAATTTCAGCTACGTACCCAGTAGAGTAAGTTGAACACAAACAGGGTGTACTTTAGACATCTACTAACTTTTCCTTCTTCCGCCATATTTGCAATAAGAGACCACAAATATTTGATGGAATACTTTCGGTTACAGCTTAACTTATTCTTATTAACGCTTCGGGGTGGTGCTGCATTTGTAAAGAGACGCTTAGATTTGCATATATTTGCATAATATTTTTCGCATTCTAGTTTCAGACTCCCAACGGTTGCGACCTTCTCGTGACGTTTGCGCACGGGAACAAATAGCAAGCCACACTTTCTATCGGTTTACGAGCTAATAGACCATGAGCTTTTATGGCGCAACTAGTAGTGAAGTTTGTCAGAGGGAATGATAAACTTAATCTTATCTTACGATCAAATCGCTGATTCTCATGAAAACTGTCAAAAAAAATGCGAATACTGTAATCAATTTATCGTTGAACGAAAGCAATGGCTCGGAGAAACTGAACAGCAATTGCAAAGAAATTAACGAGAGATAACAATACGCATGATAAACACACACACTATAAAGTGCTACTGAAGAATACTTCAATTCGGACGGAGAAAAGGTGATTTTCGTGGCCAGAACTGGACTACCGCTGCGACTGCGATCTGATAATCTGTACGGAAAGTTTTTAAAAGGAACCGGCCGCTCTTAATGCAAATATTTCTCAAAAGGCTATCTGTGTATCAATCTTATTTCTAAAAATGATTCCTTTAGCCTTGTTAATTTTTTGCGGCCTACAAAACAAAGGGGTTAACCAGGAGCCATTACTAAATTAAAACCTGGGGATTTGGCCCGCGTGTGGCGCCATTTCACAGGACGGGAAGATATTTCAGTTTCTATGAGTATTGTTAGAGGTACTTTCTAACACTCCTTGTGTAGTTTACACTTTTCTTTATTCCTTTTACAAATCGCTAGCTCAGGTTCTGGCACTACTCTTACGAGGGAAGTGTTGGTCTTAAGCTTAGAAAGGTGACTGCTATCAAGCTGCCAATCTTTGACCAACTTCATTATCTCTCACTAAACTAAACTTACGAATCATGTTAAGTCAAGTGAAACAGATTCCACATACTAAATATGTGTACCTTCGGTTTGCTGACTCTTTCCAAAACGCGTTTCTCTTTAAAATTTCATACTATTGCGGTTAAGATCGGGCAAAACAAAAACAAGAGATTGATAACGTAAATGTTACAAAGGACGCATTGCCGAGATTAGAACTACACTCAGAAAGATAACTAAAGTGAAAATAGCCCTTGACTATTGTTAAATAACAACAGAATAAACAGTGAATTCGAATAAGCAAGGTTTACCCAAGGTGCCGCCCGCAGAGGAGCTATCAGCAGTTCATATTAGAAACTTACTATAAATTCAGTGCGGAAGATGAAAAGTACAAGTCGTTTACTCCACCTTCAAGAAGAGGTGTTTTAAGTGCTGAAATTAAAAATTCAGAATTACCTACTCTACCTACAAAGTAAGACCGCCAAAGAAATAGGAAACGATTAACCAGCTTATAATATTGCTTAGGGTTAGAGTTTTTTTTGTTTTTTTTTTTTAACTGAATGGTTTATGCAAATATGCTATTTCCATTCATTTTCCAACACTCAAACAAGTTAAAAACGCTTATACAGAAAATTCTTGCTTGATGCCAATTTTGTCTTTCAACATTGAAAAGGCAAATATGCAATAGATTTTTGACCCATAGTAGCGTGCGTTGTGTCTATGTTACGCGATGAACTGGGATAAAATTTAACTGCAATCCGTAAATCAGTCAGTCTCGTACTGAAAGATAGGAATATTATATCTTATCACTCGTAACAACCAGGACCGAACGAAAATTTGATCGAAGTTCGGTGCTTGATTTATTCCGCAATCGTTATACGTAAGCAGCCTTCACTCTCGCTGCTGTTTTAGCCCAAAACCATCTATTCTTATCATTTAAATTGGAAATATAATTTAAATATCAACGCTAGAGCCAACAGATTTGAGTTTGGTAAATTTATATATCCGGAAGAAACGAACTTTTTTTCGCCACCTTGGACAGAATACTCGGTTATAATTATTACTTTTTCTCAAATGATGGTACAGTTCTCAGGTTCGTCAGATACACGCCCACCAGGATCTCCTGTTTGCTTCCGTTACAGCTATAGTCAGCATCGTCCATATCAAAGATCCGGAATAAATGAAACACACATAGTTCGTGAACATGTCAGAGGAATCAAGGGAAAATCTCCTCCACACTTAATAAATCATGTTTTATTCCAACTGTTGGAAGAACACCCTAAGATATTCCTGACGAAACATTCGCGCACATTATGTTTGAATGCAACACGCCACTAGCAAATAATCCCACACAAGCATTTGTTATGTGAAATTAAGGCCCATAATTCCACATAAACTGGCTTAAATAATAATGGCAAACCATCTGCAGCTATGTGGTAGTTGTCCGGTTTCTTTCCATCTTTTACAAGCGAGTAGGATTGTGACAAAATCCTAAACTGTGATTGGCTATCACCAGCCCGATTTTATGGGACAGCGTCCGGGTCATGCTTGTAAATTAGATGGTGCAATAGGACAGTTTACTCAGAGTTTTGATCCAGGAAGGGTGCTTTTCCACACAAAAATTTGTTGAAGCTTATTATAGAGCAGTCAGAAAATCATAGCTTTTAGTTTATTTTGTGTTTTCTTCAAAATTGCCCAGGAAAACATTAAGATAATTTTATGATCTACCATCGGCACTATTCAACTACTTAAACATAAAACTAAAAATTTTTTTGACCTGTTAATATGTTCTAATCTTTCAATAGAAAATCAGAACCTAAAAATGTTCACTGTCTCGCGAAGAAGGTTATAATTTCGTCTGTGTATTTAGACTTTGGAGGGAAGGCAGTTGGCGGCGATAATCGCAACCGTAGATATAGATCACCATTTCAGGGTTCCTTGCATGTTGAAAACCTCTGCCACTGCGTAACTAAGAACTGCCGAATAATTAGATAAACGAAAATCAAGTTTCAGTCTTATCCACAAAAAGTTATCACGGGATCTCCATCTCTCTGATCTTTACTACCCACAGCAGCAACAATGAGCTTCCGTGAAATTATGTGACCTCTTTGATTTATCTTTAATGAAATCAGAAAGGAAGAGAGATCAGTGACATGTAAGGAAATAAAATTGAGTCAAACATGACCTTAGTTGTGACTAGCCTACGTGTAGCCGTACCACGCCCTTCAAGGATAATCGGAAGGGTACGGCTACACGTAAGATAGGTGGTGACAACGTCTTCCTTAAATTGCATGTTTATGTGGAAATTCTGGTCTTGGGCCTGAACACGAAAATTGTCATCTGAGTTAATTGAGTTGCATCGAGCTCGACTAAGCGGAATAATTTATCGTGAGGCATGATATATATCTTTATCTTTTTATGCTCATACTCACAAAACGTTTGAATAATATAATCTTATGACAACTTCTTGCAAATGATATAATAAAAACACAGTTCGTAATTTTTGTCAGGATACGAGAAACCCCTCTTGTATATGTTTGAAATGACAGTGTAGTCCTTAATAATGCTAACACTTTAAACCCTAACATCAGTATCCATATTCTTCGTACTCCTCTCTATTATTTACTTTGGTGCTGACAAGGAGAATTGTTTTATTAACCAAAGCTTCTTATGTTGGCGATCATTCCCTTTATTTTCACGACCTTAATGACACCTCATGAGTAATTAGTGTAAGGAGAAATTAGATTCTGGTCACTCTTAGGGTTTAAAAGAATTAAATCGGGATCGTCCATGCACAAACTGCTCTTCCCACCAGCCACTGGTCAAACGTTATGTATCAACAATGAAATATCACCTGTTTATAAAGTAATTTGTCTCCGAGATTTGGAAGATTTTCCTTTGATATTCTTTTTGTCTGGAACAGAAGATTTCTTCAAAGCAGCAAGACCAGGTTGCATGTTGAACTGGAAATAAATGAAATGAAATGGTGCAAGTGAGAGAGGTTTGATATTACGACAGTGAACATCCACAATATTCACGCTGCAAACCAGCCAGATACAGAGGATAGATAGATAGGAGAAATCAGTTGCAAGATATTCAAATGAACGTATAAATCGCAACCGGAGGCTGTCGTACAATATAAATATAAAAGCTACAATATTGGGCAAAAACTTGAAATATACTTTTAAAAAATGTTATCAGGGTATGGTGCTATCGATTTAGTGTTAATTGACTGAGTGTAGTGCAATTTGGTCTGAAATCACATGCGTGATTTCAAATCACAAGTAACTACGATTTCAGACAAAAATTGCACAACACGAAGTTGAGATACCGTTTTATTACATCCATTTTGAAATCGCAAAATTTAGTCGCTCAGATATAGGATTTTTTGGTCGTAACAAGTGCTTTGCTGATCCAGTAGTAAGCTGGTTTTTAGAAAGTTGCCATTTTTTTCCTTTTCCTGTGATTTGATTTGTTTCTCTAAACCTGCAATTTGTTGTTGTATTTTAGTAGAGGGTACTCATTGGCTGGGAAATGGATGCGATTTAGAGCAAAAAATGGTGCGATTCGTTGATAAATAGCACCAATGAGAGCCAATCAGATTACAAGGATCACCAGTGATTTCAAAATGGATGTAGTAAAGGTAAATTATGACTTCTTAAAAACGCCATCAAGGATCCTAGTAAAATCTGACTTAAAGATCTATTGGACATCTTTAAGAGTTAACTAGGAGCCATTAACAAGAAATCTAACGATTCCTGGCCTGTAGGTTTAAAATTTGATATCAAAACCACTGGCATGGCTGAGAGTGTTGGAAAGACGGGGAAAACTTGTATACAAGGCTTCATATTTGCGCTTTGCTTTTAACAAGTCTTTGCTTGCCAAGAATTTCATAAAATTCTGTATCCAGTTGTCATTTCTAGCTCGAGTTGACACAGGTTCACTAGGCTGTGGTAAAGTTAAGGTATACACCACTCTCTTACAGTAGGCGATTCCGTCATTGCTCCTTCTCCAGGGACTTGGAAAAATGATGCCATCTCTTTCTGAGGCACCATAGGAAGTTGCGGCCCTTCTGATCCGGGTCCCTCTTGGGAAAACATGGCCGGTGGTTGTGGCTCACTGAGACCGAAGCTAGATGGATTAA